ATACACACACACACACACACACATACATACACATACACTACCGATCAAACGTTTTAGAACACCTACTCATTCAAGGGTTTTTCTTTATTTTTACTATTTTCTACATTGTAGAATAATAGTGAAGACATCAAAACTATGAAATAACACATATGGGATCATGTAGTAACCAAAGAAGTGTTATACAAATCAAAATAGATTTGAGATTTGAGATTCTTCAAATAGCCACCCTTCGCCTTGATTACAGCTTTGCACACTCTTGGCATTCTCTCAACCAGCTTCATGAGGTAGTCACCTGGAATGCATTTCAATTAACAGGTGTGCCTTTGTGGAATTTCATTCCTTCTTAATGCGTTTGAGCCAATCAGTTGTGTTGTGACAAGGTAGGGGGTGTATACAGAAGATAACCCTATTTGGTAAAAGACCAAGTGCATATTATGGCAAGAACAGCTCAAATAAGCAAAGAGAAACGACAGTCCATCATTACTTTAAGACATGAAGGTCAGTCAATATGGAAAATGTCAAGAACTTTGAAAGTTTCTTCAAGTGCAGTCACAAAAACCATCAAGCGCTATGATAAAACTGGCTCTCATGATGACCGTCACAGGAATGGAAGACCCAGAGTTACCTCTGCTGCAGACGATACGTTCATTAGAGTTACCAGCCTCAGAAATTGCGGCCCAAATAAATGCTTCACAGAGTTCAAGTAACAGACACATCTCAACATCAACTGTTCAGAGGAGACTGTGAATCAGGCCTTCATGGTCGAATTACTGCAAAGAAACCACTACTAAAGGACACCAATAAGAAGAAGAGACTTGCTTGGGCCAAGAAACACGAGCAATGGACATTGGAAATATGTCCTTTGGTCTGGATTCCAGAAGATTTCTGGTTCCAACCGCCGTGTCTTTGTGAGACGCGGTGTGGGTGAACGGATGATCTCCGCATGTGTATTTCCCACCGTAAAGCATGGAGGAGGAGGTGTTATGGTGTGGGGGTGCTTTGCTGGTGACACTGTCTGTGACTTATTTAGAATTCAAGGCACACTTAACCAGCATGGCTACCACTGCATTCTGCAGCGATACGCCATCCCATCTGGTTTGCGCTTAGTGGGACTATCATTTGTTTTTCAACAGAACAATGACCCAACACACCTCCAGGCTGTGTAAGGGCTATTTGACCAAGAAGGAGAGTGATGGAGTGCTGCATCAGATGACCTGGCCTCCACAATCCCCCGACCTCAACCCAATTGAGATGGTTTGGGATGAGTCGGACGGCAGAGTGAAGGAAAAGCAGCCAACAAGTGCTCAGCATATGTGGGAACTCCTTCAAGACTGTTGGAAAAGCGTTCCAGGTGAAGCTGGTTGATAGAATGCCAAGAGTGTGCAAAGCTGTCATCAAGGCAAAGGGTGGCTATTTGAAGAATCTCAAATATAAAATATATTTTGATTTGTTCAACACTTTTTTGGTTACTACATGATTCCATATGTGTTATTTCATAGTTTTGATGTCTTCACTATATTCTACAATGTAGAAAATAGTAAGAATAAAGAAAAACCCTTGAATGAGTAGGTGTGTCCAAACTTTTGACCGGTAGTGTACATAAATATATACACACACACACACAGCCTACACACACACAAAGTTTGTTCCTCGGGGGACAGACCTGCAGTATGTACAGTAGCACTGCTCAGTGAATCACTCACGTGACAGGACCCACCTCCACCCATCCATCCATCCATCCCTCCGTCCTCCCCCTTCCTTCGCCGGGGACCCTGATGCAGTCATTAATTCAGCTGTGAATCCTGCTCTTGGGCTCTCAGCCAAGACAGGCGAGGAAGGGAGGGAGGGTTTAAAGGAGAGGAGAAGACTCATTTAGAGTTTGAAGTGATGGAGTAGCAGCAGATAGAGAGATGGAGATAGCGACGGGCGGCTGCCTGCAGCTAGCGGAGCCCTACGGGGGAGTTTAGCTCCACGGTGATAGAAACTTTACTGACAGACGCACAGACAGAGGCCCTAAGCCTAAAGCTTATCTTAATTCCCAAGGCTAGGATGACTAAGGATACCACCTCAGAGATGTGACAGAGGGACAGACAGACACAGAACAGTTGCTTAGTGAGAGTCATTTTGAAATATAACCTTCCTTCTTTCTCCTATAAGGTGATCGCTAATGATGATTGACAACCATTGATTGATAGCCTAGGTGAAAGCAATATGGTGGAAAGATCAAGGAGATCTTAATGAAAGGAAGCAAATACAGTGAGGGAAAAACGTTTTTGATCCCCTGCTGATTTTGTACGTTTGGCCCACTGACAAAGACATGATCAGTCCATCATTTTAATGGTAGGTTTATTTGAACAGTAAGAGACAGAATAACAACAAAAAAATCCAGAAAAACGCATGTCAAAAATGTTATAAATTGATTTGCATTTTAATGAGGGAAATAAGTATTTGACCCCTCTGCAAAACATGATTTAGTACTTGGTGGCAAAACCCTTGTTGGCAATCACAGAGGTCAGACGTTTCTTTTAGTTGGCCACCAGGTTTGCACACATCTCAGGAGGGATTTTGTCCCACTCCTCTTTGCAGATCTTCTACAAGTCATTAAGGTTTCGAGCCTGACGTTTGGCAACTCGAACCTTCAGCTCCCTCCACAGATTTTCTATGGGATTAAGGTCTGGAGACTGGCTAGGTCAGTCCAGGACCTTAATGTGCTTCTTTTTGAGCCACTCCTTTGTTGCCTTGGCTGTGTGTTTTGGGTCATTGTCATGCTGGAATACCCACCCACGACCCATTTTCAATGCCCTGGCTGAGGGAAGGAGGTTCTCACCCAAGATTTGATGGTACATGGCGCGGTCCATCGTCCCTTTGATGTGGTGAAGCTGTCCTGTCCCCTTAGCAGAAAAACACCCCCAAAGCATAATGTTTCCACCTCCATGTTTGACGGTGGGGATGGTGTTCTTGTGGTCATAGGCAGCATTCCTCCTCCTCCAAACACGGCAAGTTGAGTTGATGCCAAAGAGCTTGATTTTGGTCTCATCTGACCACAACACTTTCACCCAGTTCTCCTCTGAATCATTCAGATGTTCATTGGCAAACTTCAGACGGGCCTGGATATGTGCTTTCTTGAGCAGGGGGACCTTGCGGGCGCTGCAGGATTTCAGTCCTTGACGGCGTAGTGTGTTACCAATTGTTTTCTTGGTGACTATGGTCCCAGCTGCCTTGAGATCATTGACAAGATCCTCCTGTGTAGTTCTGGGATGATTCCTCACCGTTCTCATGATCATTGCAACTCCACGAGGTGAGATCTTGCATGGAGCCCCAGGCCGAGGGAGATTGACAGGTCTTTTGTGTTTCTTCCATTTGCGAATAATCGCACCAACTGTTGTCACCTTCTCACCAAGCTGCTTGGCGATGGTCTTGTAGCCCATTCCTGCCTTGTGTAGGTCTACAATCTTGTCCCTGACATCCTTGGAGAGCTCTTTGGTCTTGGCCATGGTGGAGAGTTTGGAATCTGATTGATTGATTGCTGCTGTGGACAGGTGTCTTTTATACAGGTAACAAGCTGAGATTAGGAGCACTCCCTTTAAGAGTGTGCTCCTAATCTCAGCTCGTTACCTGTATAAAAGACACCTGGGAGCCAGAAATCTTTCTGATTGAGAGGGGGTGAAATACTCATTTCCCTCATTAAAATGCAAATCAATTTATAACATTTCTGACATGCGTTTTTCTGGATTTTTTTGTTGTTATTTTGTCTCTCACTGTTCAAATAAACCTACCATTAAAATTATAGACTGATAATTTCTTTGTCAGGTGGTCAAACGTACAAAATCAGCAGGGGATCAAATACTTTTTTCCCTCACTGTAAACTATGAAGGATAGAATGAGGGAAGGAAAGGAAGGAAGGATCTGTATACAGCCTGACTGTCTACTTTCTGTCATTCAGTTAGGCAGGCCTATTTGAAATTGTTAAAAGCTTATTTCAAGGTTGTCTATTGCTTCCCCAGAAGTCTTTGGGATGTGCATTGCAGATAAAATAAAAATAATATTTTTTATAATTTGCAGTGTACAAATTAGTATAATTGTTCCGGCCCCAACCATCCACTCTGAAAAAAATCTGCCTGCGGCTGAATCTAGTTGCCTGCCCCTGCCCTATGACTCATCACTGCTGAGCTCTCTGCTCCAATCAGCTCCCATCTCTCTCTCTCTCTCTCTCTCTCTCTCTCTCTCTCTCTCTCTCTCTCTCTCTCTCTCTCTCTCTCTCTCTCTCTCTCTCTCTCTCTCTCTCTCTCTGGCAGCTTTCTTCCCTCCGCAAAGTCACACAGTGTTACACAACTTTCCTCAAGGTTGTCAATTGTGAGACTGTGATGTATAAATTGTCTGTGCCTTTCCGAAAAAAAATGGTGTGTGTACAATGTGTCTTTTTTTATATGTTGGTGAGTCTTTCGTGTCTCAGTGTGTGTCTTTGTGCTCCAATGTCTTTGTGGCCACATTCTTCAGATGTCTGACCCCTTTTAAAAGGGGCTTTGAACAAAGGCATCTATTTCTCAGCCTGTGTGAAAAAAAACTGGTCTTGAAGAACCGTGCAAGGACAGTCTTTCTCTGCTGCTGTGTAGTTCTTTCTTTCCAAGCATCTATTTCTCTCTAGCCCTCTTGCTCTCTCTCTCTCTCCAGCCCTGGGTTGATGGATGTCTAAACTTTATTCATCTCTGAGCTGTGCAAGGCTTATTTAACCTTGTCAATAATAACGGTGGTGTTCTTCAGTCGACATGAGCTGGATGCTGCTGACACAGGTGTACTAGGTGACAGATGTGATGTAGCACTACAACAACATGAGCTTTTACCCTGGTCTCACTGTAACTCTCTTTGAAGGATTACTTATTTTATTGATGTTTTATCATGGTCAGGTATCTGCAGTTGCAAACATGATTTATTAATTCATACCTCACTCACTCACTCACTTACTCACCCACTCTCCATATCTCCTTATTTCTCTCCTGTAGGGTGTGTGTGGTTGTTGTGGGGCTCTGAGGCCACGCTACAAGAGACTGGTGGACAACATCTTCCCAGAGGACCCAGAGGTGAGAGTTCAACTGACACTTCCTGTTTCCTGTGGCCATGCTCTCTACTTCCTGTGACCTTTTTTGTCATTTCAATATTTCTAGTGGTTTCCTCTCCTGGTCTTCTCTCATCTGCACTGATCTGAAAGGACTAGACAGATAGAAGTGAATTCCTGGCAGGCAACCTCTGAATTGCTTTCACCGGTCCTGTCATAATGACAGAATATGAAGGACAATAGACAAGGAAAGAAAGTCACTATTGAGCAATTGAAGATATTCTGCATATGCCATGTCTGTGAAGGAGGATGAATTGAATTAATTCATTTGTGAATATTATAAAAATAGCCCAGTCTACCTGTCAGATCTGTCGCCAGCCACACAGAGACCTAATTTATCTGCTGTGTGTGTGTGTGTGTGTGTGTGTGTGTGTGTGTGCTGCGCTGCATGCCCCAAAAACCAGTCTGTTTCTAATTTGGTGTTCTAAGCTCCCGACACAGAGACTGTAACTAATCTAATCCCCTCACCCAGGGAATAACCCACAGCCCTCTGATAACATTCACTCATTCACACTAACACACTGTGTCTGGAATGTGTGCGTGCGTGCTTGTGTGTGTGTGTGAGACTAACCAGAGCTCTCTGATAACATTCACACGGATGCTGTGGAGATAAAAAGTGTGTGTACGTGTGCGAGTCTTAAGTGCACAACCTGAGCCTTCAGATAACATTGAGTCAGGTAGAACAGACCAAAGTCCTGTTAATGTGTTTATCATATAGAGTTATGTATAGCTCTGTCTGGTAATGCCTTTTAAATTTTATCTGTGTATTATTTTCAATACTTTACCACACATTTTATAGTTCAAGCGTTGTAATATACAATGGAGGCAATTCCTGTGAGCAAAGTTCATTTTCTTTTATTGGATCATTACTAGTCTGAATGTAAATGAGCCCCTATCTCACCAGACTCTGTGGATGCTTTTAGTCCTTGTGCCCAGACTGTTTGAGATCGAGGTGGTGTGTACGTGTGAGAGAGTGTGTGTGTGGCCGCATGCTTGTGTTGTGTTGTCGTCTTTTTCTTTTTTTTTGTCACCGTTGGTAACTTAATAACTCAGAGTGTGGTGTTCCACAAGGTTCGATTTTGTGTCCGGTACTGTTCAGTTTAAATATGTTACCCCTTGACAGCATTGATTTTCACTGATATGTAGACGATACACAACTTTACATTTCTGTGTCACCAGAGGATTTTAGCTCCACGGATAAATGATTAGACTGTATTAGTGATTTAAATACTTGGATGGCTCACAACTTCCTCCAGCTAAAGACAAGACCGAGGTACTTATTGTTGGAGCCAAAGCACAGAGAGAGAATCCAGCCGCACATTTTAATTCACGGGCAATAAAGATAAAACACCAGGTAAAAAACCTAGGTGTTATTTTAGATTCTGAACTAAATTTCATTAGGAATGTGACCGAAATAGCTTTTTACCACCTGAGGAACATTGCCAAGGTGCGGCCGTTTCTCTCTCAGGCTAATACAGAAAGACTCATCCATGCTTTTATTACAAGCAGGCTTGACTATTGTAATGCTCTCCTGTCTGGTCTTACCAAGAAAGCCATTGGTCAACTGCAAAACATACAGAATGCTGCAGCACGGGTACTGACCAAGACCAGACGGAGAGCACACATTACACCGGTTTTAAGGTCACTGCACTGGCTGCCTGTGAGTTTTAGAATTAATTTTAAGATTCTTCTATTGGTTTTTAAATCAATCCACAATTGTGCACCCCAATACATGTCAGACATGCTTTTAAGTTATGTACCAAGTAGGTCCCTCAGGTCCTGTGGCACTGGCCTTTTAACTATCCCAAAGCTGAGGACCAAGAGGCATGGAGAGACAGCCTTTAGTTATTATGCCCCCAGCCTCTGGAATAACCTGCTAGAGAACCTGAGGGGGGCTGAAACTGTGGACATATTTAAAAGAACTTAAACACATCTTTTTAGCTTTGCTTTTCCTCAGGGTGCTTTTTAGTTGTTCAGTTTGTGTCATTCTTTTGTTTTTTATCTTATGTTTGTTGTGTAGTAAATATTTCAGCTTTTATTTTCATTGATTTTTTGTGTTTTTTTCCTGTAAAGCACATTGCGTTGCATTCCATGTCTGAAATGTGCTGTATAAATAAAGCTTGATTTGATTTGAGTATATTCATGTCCTGTGGAGACAGTGAACCAAGAACCCAAACCTAACCCCTTTCACCTTCATCCTCCACCTTTCTCTTTCTCGTCAACCCCCCCCTCTCTGTCTGTCTGTAGGACGGGTTGGTGAAGGCTAACATGGAGAAGTTGACGTTCTATGCCCTGTCAGCTCCAGAGAAGCTGGACCGTATCGGGGCCTACCTGTCAGAGAGGCTCTCCAGGGACGTGGCCCGACACCGCTACGGGTGAGCAACACAACAGTTACACCTGAGCCATGGATATACTGCACAGAGATCTGTCAACTGTCGTCCATGTCGGCTCAAAATGCACCATGACTATTATTACTTTCTCATTTGCATTCTAACTTAATGTAATGGTCTTAAGACATATAGTGTGTGGCATAACTACCGTGTCTGTGTGTGTGCGCGTGCATGCGCTTGTGTGTGTTTAGGTACGTGTGTATAGCTATGGAGGCTCTGGACCAGTTGTTGATGGCGTGCCACTGTCAGAGCATCAACCTGTTTGTGGAGAGTTTCCTCAAGATGGTCCGTAAGCTGCTGGAGGCCGACAAACCCAACCTACAGATCCTGGGAACCAACTCTGTGAGTAGAATAGAAGACACCCACCTTGATAAACCACCTGATAATACACACTAGCAGCTGGTTGCAAGGAATCCCAAATAAATATAATTGTAGGTCTATTCTGTAGGAAATAACAACATAATGAAGCAACGGCCGTGTCAATACCAGGTAAATAGCAGATGCCAGACGGTAATGTAAACAGAAAGTGTACATTTTTACCTGGGTGGGGTGGGGGGGGGGGGGGGGGGGGTATGCATAGAGAGAGAATGGTTATCTGGTTGATGAGTAGTAGTAGCAGCAGTAGTAGTGGCAGCAGCAGTAGTAGTAGCAGCTATCAGTGTTATCAGACAGGGCTGTCAGAGCAGCAGGGTCAGGAGGGGACAGGAAGGATCAAGGAAATAACATTACCCACAGAGACAGACTCGCCACACTGGCAACGCTGTCTAGTGATACCACGGATTACACACACACTGATACACACACACACTGATACATACACTTATACACACACTAGGGTTGGCCGATTTTACGATTGCATCGTCTATCAACGATGTTTGACAGCCATCGTCGATGGTGACGACATTGTGATGTCACAAACGATGGTTTAGCATATTTGAATTTGACTGCACCTCTGGAGTCTGGTAGCGCGCAGCGCAGGGAGCACACAGCAGGGCGACATGCCATGTGGCCTATTCCCCATTTGCCATAGCCTAAATGTTCAATACACATGAGGTAGTTAGACTAACATAATGCAAGAGAACAATGTAGATTGTAGAAAGAGCTGAGAGCACCAAAGCAGTGCAAAATGTCAGATAGGACCTAACGTGTTTTGTTCCCTCCTCTCAAATGTTGGATGATCATGGGCCTTTTTGAGTCTGGCTTATTGTTTTAAAATCTTGATTTTCCCTTTTTCTCCCCAATCCCCATTCAATTTGAATGTGACTTGTTGGCCTAGGCATAGCCTAATCTTTCATGATCAACCATCGAATGAATCTATAGGCCTAACAGAGTTCCATCTCAGAAAGGTTTTTGCGAATAGCCTAAATAAAAACATACTATAGTAATAATGAGAGAGAGAACAAACATCTGCAATATAGACTAATCAAATAGGAAGTTTAAACAAACCTGGTACGTTTCTGCTTTACTTCACCAAAGTCTAGGCAAAATAAATTGTGCCATCGGAAAATCCCTCCTTGCAAACCAAACAGCCAATAGTGCCTTCGGAAAGTATTCAGACCCCTTGACTTTTTCCACATTTTGTTACATTACAGCCTTATTCTAAAATGGATTCAATATACAGTGGGGAGAACAAGTATTTGATACACTGCCGATTTTGCAGGTTTTCCTACTTACAAAGCATGTAGAGGTCTGTAATTTTTATCATAGGTACACTTCAACTGTGAGAGACGGAATCTAAAACAAAAATCCAGAAAATCACATTGTATGATTTTTAAGTAATTAATTTGCATTTTATTGCATGACATAAGTATTTGATCACCTACCAACCAGTAAGAATTCCGGCTCTCACGGACCTGTTAGTTTTTCTTTAAGAAGCCCTCCTGTTCTCCACTCATTACCTGTATTAACTGCACCTGTTTGAACTCGTTACCTGTATAAAAGACACCTGTCCACACACTCAATCAAACAGACTCCAACCTCTCCACAATGGCCAAGACCAGAGAGCTGTGTAAGGACATCAGGGATAAAATTGTAGACCTGCACAAGGCTGGGATGGGCTACAGGACAATAGGCAAGCAGCTTGGTGAGAAGGCAACAACTGTTGGCGCAATTATTAGAAAATGGAAGAAGTTCAAGATGACGGTCAATCACCCTCGGTCTGGGGCTCCATGCAAGATCTCACCTCAGCCCAGAACTACACGGCAAGACCTGGTCAATGACCTGAAGAGAGCTGGGACCACAGTCTCAAAGAAAACCATTAGTAACACACTACGCCGTCATGGATTAAAATCCTGCAGCGCACGCAACGTCCCCCTGCTCAAGCCAGCACATGTCCAGGCCCGTCTGAAGTTTGCTAATGACCATCTGGATGAACCAGAGGAGGAATGGGAGAAGGTCATGTGGTCTGATGAGACAAAAATATAGCTTTTTGGTCTAAACTCCACTCGCCGTGTTTGGAGGAAGAAGAAGGATGAGTACAACCCCAAGAACACCATCCCAACCGTGAAGCATGGAGGTGGAAACATCATTCTTTGGGGATGCTTTTCTGCAAAGGGGACAGGGCGACTGCACCGTATTGAGGGGAGGATGGATGGGGCCATGTATCGTGAGATCTTGACCAACAACCTCCTTCCCTCAGTAAGAGCATTGAAGATGGGTCGTGGCTGGGTATTCCAGCATGACAACGACCCGAAACACACAGCCAGGGCAACTAAGGAGTGGCTCCGTAAGAAGCATCTCAAGGTCCTGGAGTGGCCTAGCCAGTCTCCAGACCTGAACCCAATAGAAAATCTTTGGAGGGAGCTGAAAGTCCGTATTGCCCAGCAACAGCCCCGAAACCTGAAGGATCTGGAGAAGGTCTGTATGGAGGAGTGGGCCAAAATACCTGCTGCAGTGTGTGCAAACCTGGTCAAGACCTACAGGAAACGTATGATCTCTGTAATTGCAAACAAAGGTTTCTGTACCAAATATTAAGTTCTGCTTTTCTGATGTATCAAATACTTATGTCATGCAATAAAATGAAAAATTAATTACTTAAAAATCATACAATGTGATTTTCTGAATTTTTGTTTTAGATTCCGTCTCTCACAGTTGAAGTGTACCTATGATAAAGATTACAGACCTCTACATGCTTTGTAAGTAGGAAAACCTGCAAAATCGGCAGTGTATCAAATACTTGTTCTCCCCACTGTAGGTTACTGTCAATAAAAGTGGCAATAAACGTTACTTTTACAAGTTAAACTCATAAATGAATATTTATAATATTGTCGAAGTGTTTATTAATGTTGTGGAATTGCACAACGAGCAATCGGGCATAAGCTCCCGCAGCAGCACTTTCAATAAGCGGGAACAAAACATTTATGAATGATGAGTCAGTGTCATACTTGTCTCACAAACTACTTTATTTTCATTAGCTTAGAAATTGTGCATTTATATAAATGTCAACAATCAAATAAAACAAATTATTATTTAGCTTATAACATTCTTTATAGCCTAACACTTGAATGAACATTGGCTTAGGCTAAAAATGAATAGGCCTGTTATCCTTAGGCTGTGCCGTGTACCTATTGAACTGTAAAAATCCTAATTATACAATCAGATAAAACTAAAGATTATTTATAACATTCGTTATAACACTTAAACAAATGAAAACTACTCAATATACTGAGCCTAAATCAGTTCAATTCAAATATCCCTTCTATGTATGCAGATTCCTTGTATTTATCTGTGTTTTACATGGACCCTACACATTAGTCTAGACTACATTGCATTGTCATACATGAAATAACAGTGGCAACAGATATCCCAGAGCCCTGGGTACATCACAACCCCGGTGCTATTTTAGCCTCTGCGTCTGGTCCAGGTTACCTGCAGTTGTTTAGCTTGGTTTTTCCATCAGAATGTGTTTAATCAGCCATCTAATTATAAAGTCATCACCACAGGCTGGCTTCAGGAAGGCTTCCCTCTGTTCCGTTCCCAAGAGGGGCACATTGTTTAGTTGTTAATTGGGGAGTGGTGTGAAACAAAATGCCAAAGTGTTAAAGTTGAAATGGTGACATTTCAGTGGCAGTCAAAATCTGTTCTTTGCCTGGCAGTTCAATACGATGCTTTAGTGCTACTATTTTTCCCAGAAATTAATTGCAAAATTCAATTTGGGATTTGGGATTATATTAGAAAGCGGAAGAATATGACGGTTAGTGCCTAGAGACACAGATTTATTGCATTCTTCTCCAGTTGAGATGGAGATTCATATTAATGTACCTCTTTCTCTCCCCCCTCTCTCTCTTTCTCTCTCTCTCCCTCTCTCCCCCTCTCCCTCAGTTTGTGAAGTTTGCCAACATTGAGGAGGACACTCCATCGTATCATCGCAGCTATGACTTCTTTGTGTCGCGCTTCAGCGAGATGTGTCACTCCAGCTACGAGGACCCAGACATCCGCACCAAGTGAGTGGACGTTATACAGACATTATATGGATGTTCTATGGAGGATCAATGGATGTTGCAGATTATTTTTCCATATATAGACATACACTATGTGTTAACCTTTTCACGTGTGAGTTCCAAATATATTTAACGGTCGCCCCCAGCCTGAGTTGTTTTATGCACGTGATGTCAGAATGCACTGACTGTTAAGCCGCGCAATGCACTCACTGTTAAGCCGAGTGCATTCTGAGTGTATTCTACGCGTGATGTCAGAATGCACTCACTGTTCAAAAATGTGATTGTTATGCAACAGGACAGTTAAGCCGCGCTGCCCTCAAACCAAGACACTGCCTGCTAATTATCTATAGGCTATATTTCAACTTGTCAATTTGAAATGATTTTCTAACAAGTTTTATTTTCTAACAACAGTTTGAATTGAGGTATGTTCCGCCTCCTCATTAATTCGCATAGAAGTAGCCCATTTCACTGTTGCGGCCAATTTGTGTTTGAGGCTTTACTGAACTGGATAAAACTTCTCTCTTCGATGAGAGCCCAAGCACCTCCCCAGTGTTTCCCCAGATCAAGTATGCAGACATTTGCGCAGTCTAGCACAAACTTGTTCCCCCTGGCACATTTTCTGGCTGGTGCTCGTATTGCCTTCATTGTTGTTTTCCTTACAAATAATAACTTTGGACATGTGTGCGTTCCAATCAAAGTAAGTGCCTTATTTTCTATATATCGTGTTGTCGTTTCTACTGTAGCATACCGTATGTATGTATGGAGCGTAATGTATTTACAGTTTTTTTCACGTTTTCATGTGCTGGTGACAAATCATGCATTGCGATTCTTTCATAGATTGTAATGGACACATACAGTGCATTCGGAAAGTATTCAGACCCCTAGACCTTTTCCACATTTTGTTATGTTACAGCCTTATTCTAAAATGGATTACATTGTTTTTTCTCTCATCAATCTACCCCACAATACCAAACTCATCTTGTCTCCTCTTCTTATCTTTAGTTGACTCAACAACAAAAAAACATGGCGGCGCGCACAAACTACCCATCGTTGGATTACTTTAGATTTTTAGAAAGTGTTTTGCTCAATTATTTTGATCAATGGTGAGCTCACCCGTGATGTGATGAATTGTTAATAGTAATTTCTATTAGCTAATTCATATTATGGTTTCTGTCAACAGAGAGTTAGCTAAATATGGCCACTTTTGTCAATCTTTCCTCCGTTAGTGCTAGGACTAATGTAGCCTACATTTTCCGGTTTGGATGATTGTGTTATGCTCTCGCCACTTCTGTGAATGTCCGAACATTGCATCCAAAAATAAACTGGTCACATTCAGGACATAATGTTGTAAGGACTGTGTTTGCAAAATGTTTCTATGAAAAAAACAGGGTTGCCATCTCAGTAGCTGACTGTTGCATCAATCGAAACTGGACGTTCTAAATAAGCTTTCTAATCACACAGGTTTGAGCATACGCTGCAGGGACCACTGTAGAATGATCACACCCATGCGTTGGTACGTGTCAAAGGGTTAAAGCACCCTGTTTGATTAAATAATTAAGACACACAAATGACTCAAGAGGGAGCCAGAGATCAAGATAGCTTAACCAAAAGAAAACCTGTTCCTGACCCCCTCCTCCCGCTGCTGCTGGCCTTTGCAGATTCTGCTGTTATGCTCCTGAACCTTTTCCATTTGGAGTGCCAATTTATCTTACCATTTCTGCTGATCTGCGTGCCAGTTATGATTTTCATATGTACATTTTCGTGGAACAGTTTCATTTAATTGATAATAGTCTTTGTATCTCAAAATCATTGTCATGTGGTTAATCTAAATTCTATCTGAATCTAAAAAAAAATTATACAAATATAAAAGTAACTTCTATTGCCAACCATGTAAAAATAGCCTACATAAAGCCAACAAATAAAAACATTGTAGCCTGCAGGAAGAAAGTATTCTATAAATCACATTGGCTACGCATGGCCTGTCTGCAATGAACTTGAAACATTGTATCAACTATCAACTGTGTCCGGCCCGAAGCTCCTGCTAGCAAACTTGCAACATTGTATAAAATATTCTGGACCCTCAGTTTCCCGCACCAGTGAGCTAAGCGTACCAGAGAGTCTGTAACACTTTTTTCTTTTTTTGTAAAGCCTTTATTACAGCAAAGACTAAAAACAGTCGCATTCATTTGTGAATGCAATTTCTGAAATGGAACGGTTTAGGCCTATTTATTGTTTATGCTAATTATTAAATGGTCGCCTTGTTATTTTAAAACTTAAATGCTTGATTGCATTTCAAATCGTGAATGACTAGTATGCTGTGTGATGACATGAACAAATAAATGATTGATTGATACAGAAGCCTATATAAGTATTGAAATAGAGGCCTAGGTAAGATCCGGTATTAAGACTAAACAGAAGGCACTCTTAGGCCTACAGCTTGATGGTGGTTATACAAGGCTGCTATAATAAGCCTACTAATGATAATGACATGACTTATTATTATAATAATGATGATGATAATAATAATAGTAATAAAAATGAGAAGGAGATCCAGGAAAAAGGAGGGTTAATAATATTATTATTATTATTATAAATAAAATAAATCAGACAATTTGGAACAGTGTAAACAACAGTGTAAACAACACAAAATAAATTATAAATAATACCAGAGAGGCTGGTCTAATGATAAAAAATGTAAAGCCTTTATTACAGCATAGCAAAGATTAAAAACATTTTGTGAAATTGTTTATCCCACATGTGGTGGCGTGAGGCTTAGTGCTCACGGAATCAGTAGGCAATTAAACAAACACACAAACAGGCTTATTTCTGTAGATATATACACTACCAGTCAAAAGTTTGGACACCTACTCATTCAAGGGTTTTTCTTTATTTTTTATTTTTTTACATTGTAAAATAATAGTGAAGACATCAAAACTATGAAATAACACATATGGAATCATATATTAACCAAAAAAGTGTTAAACAAATCAAAATATATTTGAGATTTGAGATTCTTCAAATAACCACCCTTTGCCTTGATGACAGCTTTGCACACTCTTGGCATTCTCTCAACCAGCTTCATGAGGTAGTCACCTGGAATGCATTTCAATTAACAGGTGTGCCTTCTTAAAAGTTAATTTGTGGAATTTCTTTCCTTCTTAATGTGTTTGAGCCAATCAGTTGTGTTGTGACAAGGTAGGGGGGTATACAGAAGATAGCCCTATTTAGTAAAAGATCAAGTCCATATTATGGCAAGAACAGCTCAAATAAGCAAAGCGAAACGACAGTCCATCATTACTTTAAGACATGAAGTGCAGTCGCAAAAACCATCAAGCGCTATGATGAAACTGGCTCTCATGAGGACTGCCACAGGAATGGAAGACCCAGAGGTTCCCATAGGGCGGCGCACAATTGGCCCAGCGTCGTCCGGGTTTGGCCGGTGTAGGCCGTCATTGTAAATAATAATTTGTTCTTCACTAACTTGCCTAGTTAAAAAAGGTTAAATAAAATAAAATAAAAAGAGTTACCTCTGCTGCAGAGGATAAGTTCGTTAGAGTTATCAGCCTCAGAAATTGCAGCCCAAATAAATGCTTCACAAAGTTCAAGTCACAGACACATTTCAACATCAACTGTTCAGAGGGGACTGTGTGAATCAGGCCTTCATGGTCGAATTGCTGCAAAGAAACCACTACTAAAGGACACCAATAAGAAGAAGAGACCTGCTTGGGCCAAGAAACACAAGCAATGGACATTAGACCTGTGGAAATGTGTCCTTTGGTCTGGAGTCCAAATTGGAGATTTTTGGTTCCAACCGCTGTGTCTTCGTGAGACGCAGTGTGGGTGAACGGATGATCTACGCATGTGTAGTTCCCACTGTAAAGCATGGAGGGGGAGGTGTTATGGTGTGGGGGTGCTTTGCTGGTGACACTGTCAGTGATTTATTTAGAATTCAAGGCACACTTAACCAGCATGGCTACCACAGCATTCTGCAGCGATACGCCATCCCATCTGGTTTGGGCTTAGTCATTTGTTTTTCAACTGGACAATGACCCAACACACCTCCAGGCAGTGTAAGGGCTATTTTACCAAGAAGGAGAGTGATGGAGTGCTGCATCAGATGACCTGGCCTCCACAATCCCCCGACCTCAACCCAATTGAGATGGTTTGGGATGAGTCGGACGGCAGAGTGAAGGAAAAGCAGCCAACAAGTGCTCAGCATATGTGGGAACTCCTTCAAGACTGTTGGAAAAGCATTCCAGGTGAAGCTGGTTGAGAGAATGCCAAGAGTGTGCAAAGCTGTCATCAAGGCAAAGGGTGGCTATTTGAAGAATCTCAAATCTCAAATATATTTTGATTTGTTTAACACTTTTTTGGTTACTACATGATTCCATTTGTGTTATTTCATAGTTTTGATGTCTTCACTATTATTCTACAATGTAGAAAATAGTAAAAAATAAAGAAAAACCCTTGAATGAGTAGGTGTGTCCAAACTTTTGACTGGTACTGTGTGTATATATACTGACAAAAATATAAACCAACGTGTAAAGTGTTGGGCCCATGTTTCATGAGCTGAAATAAAAGATCGCAGAAATGTTCCATACACACAAAAGGCTTATTTCTCTCAAGTTTTGTGCACAATTTTGTTTACATCCCTGTTAGTGAGCATTTCTCCTTTGCCAAGATAATCCATCTACCTGACAGGTGTGGCATATCAAGAAGCTGATTAAACAGCATTATCATTACACAGGTGCCCCTTGTGCTGGGTACAATAAAAGGCCACTCTTAAATGTACAGTTTTGTCACACAACACAATGCCACAGATGTCTACATTTTGAGGGAGCGCGCAATTGGCATGCTGACTGCAGGAATGTCCACCAGAGCTGGTGCCAGAGAATTTAATGTTTAATTTCTCTACCATAAGTCTCCTCCAACGTCGTTTTAGAGAATTTGGCAGTGCGTCCAACCGGCCTCACAACCGCAGACCACGTGTAACAACGCCAGCCCAGGACCTCCACATCCGGCTTCTTCACCTGCGGGATCATCTGAGACCAACTACCCGGACAGCTGATGAAACGGAGGATTATTTCTGTCTGTAATAAAGCCCTTTTGTGGGGAAAAACTCATTCTGATTGGTTGGGCCTGGCTCCCCAGTGGGTGGGCCTATGCCCACCCATGGCTTCTTAGACTGATGGACTGTGCCAATCAGACAGGTGTCTTGTACACCATAATTATTATTATTATTATATATTTTTTCTACTGCTCGACTAAAGAGGTCTCGGTCGACCAATAGCCTATCAACCAAACAATCGACCAGTCAACTAAATGGTGTCACGCCCTGGCTCTGGGGACACTTGTATGTTGAGCCAGGGTGTGAGTTTCCTTTGTGTATGCTAGTTGGTGTATTTCTATGTTGGCCAGAGTGGTTCTCAATCAGAGGCAACGAGTGTCAGCTGTTGCTGGTTGCCTCTGATTGGGAACCATATTTAGACAGGCTGTTTTCCCACAGTGGTTTTGGGATCTTGTTCCAGTGTGGTTTGTGTTAGACCGTGGACGTCACGTTATCGTTTTGTTGTTTTGTTTGTGTAATCACTAATAAAAGAGTATGTTCGCCTTCAACGCTGCGCCTTGGTCCTCCTCTGTTCCCGACGATCGTGACAGAAGATCCCACCAAGACTGGACCAAGCAGCGTGTCCAGGAGCCATCGCCAGGGAGATCTCTAGCGGATCTCCTTCGCCTCCTCGACTGGGTCAAGCCGTGTGAGGAAGAGAGGGGCTTGACTTGGAAGCAGAAGGGCGAAAGGCTGGCGAGAGATATGGAGACCTGGTCCACGGGTAGGAGAGAAGCCCAGATTTTTTTTAAGGGGGGGCTCACGCCGTGGACGACGGGGCAGCAGGAGACCACGATAGAGCGGCCCAGCGGGTTGGCAGAGGAGGCCGCCAGGTTACGGGGGCCACTGGTCAAAGAGGGGAAGGAAGGTGTAGAGGCACGGCGAGAGGTACTGGGGTGTGTCCCCAGTACGGTCCGGCCCGTTCCTGATCCCTGCGTAGTGCCAGTGGTGCGCGTCGCCAGCCCGGCCCGGCCCGGCCTGTTCCTGCTCCCCGCACCAAGCCAATGGTGCGCGTCGCCAGCCCGGCCCGGCCTGTTCCTGCTCCCCGCACCAAGCCAATGGTGCGCGTCGCCAGCCCGGCCCGGCCTGTTCCTGCTCCCCGCACCAAGCCAATGGTGCGCGTCACCAGCCTGGCCCGGCCTGTTCCTGCTCCCCGCACCAAGCCAAGGGTGCGCGTCGCCAGCCCAGCCCGGCCTGTTTCCTGCTCCCCGCACCAAGCCAATGGTGCGCGTCGCCAGCCCGGCCCGGCCTGTTCCTGCTCCCCGCACCAAGCCAATGGTGCGCGTCGCCAGCCCGGTCCGGCCCTCTCCTGCTCCCCGCACCAAGCCTATGGTGCGCGTCGCCAGCCCGGCCCGGCCTGTTCCTGCTCCCCGCACCAAGCCAATGGACCAGGGGTACTTTGGGGGGTTAGAGAGGGAGTGGGGATCATGCCCGGAGCCGGATCCGCCGCCAAGGCGGAGTGCCCACCCGGTCCCTCCCCTGTGGTATTTGGTTGGCGCGGTCGGAGTCCGCGCCTTTAGGGGGGGGTACTGTCACGCCCTGGCTCTGGGGACACTTGTATGTTGAGCCAGGGTGTGAGTTTCCTTTGTGTATGCTAGTTGGTGTATTTCTATGTTGGCCAGAGTGGTTCTCAATCAGAGGCAACGAGTGTCAGCTGTTGCTGGTTGCCTCTGATTGGGAACCATATTTAGACAGGCTGTTTTCCCACAGTGGTTTTGGGATCTTGTTCCAGTGTGGTTTGTGTTAGACCGTGGACGTCACGTTATCGTTTTGTTGTTTTGTTCGTGTAATCACTAATAAGAGTATGTTCGCCTTCAACGCTGCGCCTTGGTCCTCCTCTGTTCCCGACGATCGTGACAAATGGGGTCAGCCCTAGAGGAACTATTTGTCATTCTCAATAGATTCTAAAAACAGAGTTTGTTTACTTGCTGTTTGAGGTGAAGAAAAAATTACTTTGAGAAGCTCCACAGCTTATTTGTGGTGGTGAGTTAAGACAATCAGAAATACTATCAGACATCCCCAAATGGACACATTTATAGACTTACATTTGCGTACAGACCAGGTAGCCTAGGCATACTTCTATATGTGTAATCAGGTGCGTGTCCTTACAGTATGAAAAAGTACAAATAAGTAAAATTGTGCACTCACTCTGGAAAAGAGCATCTGCTAAATTACAAAAATGTTAAATGTAAATGTTTTCAACATTGACAGGAGTGCTCCAAACAAAGGACAATGAATATATTGACAAAACTCATAAATGGAATGAAATAGACCAAAACTTGTTTCTCACAAGTGTAGCATAGGTTGTGAGCTCTGAAAACGTGTCCACTCCGACAATGAGAACGGTAAATGACTGTAATAATAATATATTGAATGCATTAACAGAAATTGTAGAATACAAATTATGGGAATTAATGGTAAATGTTAGCTACTACTGGTGATATATGTGATGGGGAATTGACACTAACAATCAAAGGGCAAACAATTCACACTAAGTTATGAAACCATGAATGCGCATGAAATGGCGGGAGAGAGATGTGCCTTGTGCATCTTAGCCCCACTCCTCTTCTTCTCGGACCATGGCATCCCCGCGGCCCCCTCAATGGATTAGTCTGCGAATCAGACAGGTGTCTCGTGTGCCTTGAAAAACTGCTTGACTAAAGAAATCTCGGTTGACCAACAGCCTATCGACCAAACAATCGACCAGTCGACTAAATGGGATCAGCCGTATTGTAGATATTGCGCTATGTACCAGTACTGTCTTATACTTGATTACTTTGTTTCAAATCTTCTTGATGGGGAGAGTGTTGATTTAAGATTAAATTATCCCCGATTAATATCAAGACTGACTGATTGGTTGGTTGATTCATTAATTTGTCCCCTCTCTCTCCTCTATAGGATCCGTATGGCTGGTATAAATGGTCTGCAGGGAGTTGTGAGGAAGACGGTGAATGATGACCTACAGTCTAACATCTGGGACCCCCAGCACATGGACAAGATCGTCCCCTCACTGCTCTTCAACCTGCAGAGTGGAGAGGGCACTGAGAGGTGAGAGGTCAATGTTAGGGGTTATCAAGAGGCTAGCGGTCAGGGGCAGGGTCATTAGTAACAGTTTCCTTGGTAGTTCATTATATTAGAAAACTACAAAGAGGTCATTGAGAGGTTGTAGAGAAGTGACAGCCTGACAGGCAGACATATGTCTATGATCAAATAGCCCATCCATGTTGTGAACAAGAGGTTAGAAAGTCCAGGCCTACAAGGACTAGAGTATAGTTGCTGTGGAGGGGTCATTGTAGCTGTGAGTGGGTGCGCATGCGTGCTTGTCCAGGTCAGGTTGTGTTTGTGTTGACACTGCCAGCCAGCTGTTATCCACTCATCTGTGATTGATGTCACTGACAGTCTCAAGGCCATGTCTTCAGCACTGCATCCAAGGACAAACAGAGTGAACGTGGGAGGGGGAGAGAGCTGGAGGGATGAAGAGATATAGAGGGATGGGGAGGGAGAGGAATGGAGGAAGAGAAGATGAGAGAAATACAGAGGTAGGTAATGATTGACTCAAAGTGATAAAGAAAGATGGAGAAAGACTGAATTAGAGTGCTATAAATAAATAAATACATCTTCAATACTGAGGGAGCGAATGAGTCAGGGAGAGAAAAAGAGGGGGCAATGTGGCAGAGATGCTGAAAGAGGGAGAGGTGGATGGAGAGGGTAGTGTGGAGCCAGACAGCCTCCATCCAGTTTTTGGCAGGTCTCCACATGCACTGAACCACTCTGACGTCAATGAGTGAGTGAGTGAGTGAGTGAGAGAGTGAGAGAGAGAGAGAACCTAGTCCATCTCCTTCTGTTCCTAAGGCCTCAGTAGATCAGTCAGTCCCCTGTCTGGTCCTTCTGTGTCCTCATATAGCTCTCCTGCTGAACTCTCTATATTATCACTGGCCATAGACAACAGCAGTAGCACTGGGACTATGATACTGGCTAATAACTATTATTACTGGCCACAGACAACAGCAGTAGGGCTTAGAGCTTGGACGATAAACCGAAAATTATCGATACCGACTGAACCAACCATTTATCGCAGCCATTTTACTGAAATCGATAATCACGATAAATCAAATAAAAATGTATTTGTCACATGCACCGAATACAACAAATGTAGACTTTACCGTGAAATGTTTACCTACGAGCCCTTTCCTAGCAATGCAGTTAAAAAGTAACAAAATTAACAAATAGATCAAAAGAAAATAGTAACACAATAAAATAACAATAACGAGGCTATATACAAGGAGTACCGAGGCTGAGTCGGTGTACTTGGGTATGAGGTAGTTGGGGTGATTGATTGAAGTACTATGTACATGTAGGTAGGGGGTGAAAAGCAGAAAGTCTGTGTAGCCATTTAATAAACTGATCAGCAGTCTTATGGCTTTGGGGTAGAAGCTGTTCAGGAGCCTTTTGGTCCCAGACTTGGTGCTCCAGTACAGCTTGCCATGTGGTAGCAGAGAGAACAGACTGTGACTTGGGTGGCTGGAGTCTTTGACAATTTTTAGGGCCTTCCTCTGACACCGCATGGTATAGATGTCCTGGATGGCATGGGTGCTTGGCCCTAATGATGTACTTGGCCGTACGCACTACCCTCTGTAGCGCCTTGTGGTCGAATTCCGAGCAGTTGCCATACCAAGCGGGGATGCAGCCAGTGAAGATGCATTTTGAGGATCTGAGGGCCCATGCCAAACCTTTTCAGCCTCCTGATGGGGAAGAGGCTTTATCGTGCCCTCTTCACGACTGTGTTGATGTGTTTGCACCATGATGTGGACACCGAGGAACATGAAGCTCTCGACCGTCTCCACTACAGCCCTGTCGATGTGAATGCGGGCGTGCTCGCCCCTCCAGTTCCTGTAGTCCACGATCAGCTCCTTTGTCTTGCTGATGTTGAGGGAGTGGTTGTTGTCCTGGCACCACACTGCCAAGTCACTGACCTCCTCCCTGTAGGCTGTTTCATCGTCGTCGGTGATCAGGCCTACCACCGTTGTGTCGTCAGCAAACTTAATGATGGTTTTGGAGTTGTGTGCGGTCACGCAGTCGTGGGGGGTTCCAGTGTTGAGGGTCAGCGTGGTGAATGTGTTGTTGCCTACCCTTACCACCTGGGGGAGTCCCGTCAGAAGGTCCAGTATCCAGTTGCAGAGGGAGGTGTTTAGTCCCAGGGTCCTTAGCTTAGTGATGAGCTTGGAGGGCACTATGGTGTTGAACACTGAGCTTTAGTCAATGAACAGCATTCTCACATAGGTGTTCCTTTTGTCCAGGTGGGAAAGGGCAGTGTGGAGCGCAATAGAGATTGCATCATCTGTGTAGCCTTTACTAGAGGAATGTGATGTTTCAAATAAAATAAGTCTGCTAATATGGACTATTGCTAACAGGACAATTGTTAGTTACAACATTCAATGTAGCTAGTAGTAGTGGTTTTAAGGGAAATATGAAAAAGTTACCGGTGCACATTTATGTTATACATTTATCGTTCAATTTATTGGTATCGTGAAAATTCAGTCAGTTTATCGTGATATCTATTTTTGTCCTTATCGGCCAACTCTAGTATGGCTGCAGGGGCTAGCAGACTAGCTAATTAACTTATAAACTGTGGTTATGTCTTACTCTGATCATTTATTGTAAAGGCAGAAAATAGGTCTCCCACAAAAAAGAGATTGTCCTCTCAGGGGACTTGCAGGGTAAATAAATACAGGGGAATGTGAGGACATAATTAGAGACATTTATCTTGTCACTCAGTGATTGTTTTTAACCTTTACTTGTTGTTAAGGAAATGCTAGGCTTATTGAAAGGTCACTGATACTAATCTGCTGTGTACCTTCTCTTGGTGTATCCATTGGTTCATTAATGGTGAGAATATATAGAATTTTCTTCTCATTACCTACAATTGAATTGATGAAAATGCTGCTAACCATGTGTTGTGGCAGAATTTGTTTTGATTCATTACCAAGTGTATGTTTGATATCTAATATTTTCTGGGGGGTTTAATGTAAGAGCATTGCTGCTAATGAGGGAGTTATGTAAGGGACCCATACAGAGACAGGAAGTCCCATGACCTCTTCTTCAGTGGTGCTGGTGGCGGGAGGGGGGCGAGAAGAAAGGCGTCTGTGGTTAATAAATTATCTTATTGGAGGACCACCTGATGCCAGGTGTGGTAGAGAGTAGAATAGAACAGAGCAGAGTGGCGCTAAGCTGAGGAGAATGCTTTACTATGTATAAGACTAAGGAAAGCCTGGGCCCGAGAGAGAGAGGAGGGAGAAGAGGACTTCAATGCAAATTATACAAATGTATAGTATGCACAGTTGCACACACATACACACAAGCACATTAGCACTTTATGCTCACACACACTCTCACTCTCTTTCACATTCACGTGTACACACACACACACATATACACAGTCACCACTTCAAGTGTAGTCACCACAAACACTCTATCCTCATTACAAGCAAGCAACAGAGAGGGAAAAGTACCTCAGGCAGATATACGCCAGCAATTGATTTTTATGTGTGTGTCGAAAGCGTGTGAAAGTGTTTTCGTTGACTCAAATATATTTCTGCTCCTCTCTTACTCCTTCTCTACCTGTCTCCTTCCTTCGTCCTACCTTCTTCACCCTCTGTGTCTCTCTCTCTCTCAATCGCCCTTCGTCCTTTCACCCTCCCTTCCTCTCTCTCTCTGTCTTTCCAGCCGCTCCCCCTCTCCCCTGCAGGCGTCGGAGAAAGAGAAGGAGAGTCCGGCGGAGCTGACGGAGCGCTGTTTCAGAGAGCTGCTGGGACGGGCCGCCTACGGCAACATCAAGAACGCTGTCACACCAGTACTCATGTGAGACCTGCTCCCCCTGTGTTTTAGTGGACTAGTGCTGTGTTTTAGTGGAACTAGTGCTGTGGACTAGTGCTGTGCATTAGTGGACTAGTGCTGTGTATTAGTGGACTAGTGCTGTGCATTAGTGGACTAGTGCTGTGTATTAGTGGACTAGTGCTGTGGACTAGTGCTGTGTATTAGTGGACTAGTGCTGTGTATTAGTGGACTAGTGCTGTGTATTAGTGGACTAGTGCTGTGTATTAGTGGACTAGTGCTGTGTATTAGTGGACTAGTGCTGTGTATTAGTGGACTAGTGCTGTGGACTAGTGCTGTGTATTAGTGGACTAGTGCTGTGTATTAGTGGACTAGTGCTGTGTATTAGTGGACTAGTGCTGTGTATTAGTGGACTAGTGCTGTGGAATAGTGGACTAGTGCTGTGTATTAGTGGACTAGTGCTGTGTATTAATGGCCTAGTGCTGTGGACTAGTGGACAAGTGCTGTGTTTTAGTGGACTAGTGCTGTGGACTAGTGGACAAGTGCTGTGTTTTAGTGGACTAGTGCTGTGGACAAGTGCTGTGTTTTACATTTACATTTACGTCATTTAGCAAACGCTCTTATCCAGAGCGACTTACAAATTGGTGCATTCACCTTATAGCCAGTGGGATAACCACTTTACAATATTTTTTTGTTGTTGTTTGTTTTTTATTTTATTTATTTTTTAAGGGGGTGGGGTGGGGTAAGGGGGGGTAGAAGGATTACTTTATCCTATCCCAGGTATTCCTTAAAGAGGTGGGGTTTCAAGTGTCTCCGGAAGGTGGTGAGTGACTCCGCTGTCCTGGCGTCGTGAGGGAGCTTGTTCCACCATTGGGGTACCAGAGCAGCGAACAGTTTTGACTGGGCTGAGCGGGAACTGTGCTTCCGCAGAGGTAGGGGGGCCAGCAGGCCAGAGGTGGATGAACGCAATGCCCTCGTTTGGGTGTAGGGACTGATCAGAGCCTGAAGGTACGGAGGTGCCGTTCCCCTCACAGCTCCGTAGGCAAGCACCATGGTCTTGTAGCAGATGCGAGCTTCAACTGGAAGCCAGTGGAGTATGCGGAGGAGCGGGGTGACGTGAGAGAACTTGGGAAGGTTGAACACCAGACGGGCTGCGGCATTCTGGATGAGTTGTAGGGGTTTAATGGCACAGGCAGGGAGCCCAGCCAACAGCGAGTTGCAGTAATCCAGACGGGAGATGACAAGTGCCTGGATTAGGACCTGTGCCGCTTCCTGTGTAAGGCAGGGTCGTACTCTCCGAATGTTGTAGAGCATGAACCTACAGGATCGGGTCACCGCCTTGATGTTAGCGGAGAACGACAGGGTGTTGTCTAGGGTCACGCCAAGGCTCTTCGCACTCTGGGAGGAGGACACAACAGAGTTGTCAACCGTGATGGCGAGATCATGGAACGGGCAGTCCTTCCCCGGGAGGAAGAGCAGCTCCGTCTTGCCGAGGTTCAGCTTGAGGTGGTGATCCGTCATCCACACTGATATGTCTGCCAGACATGCAGAGATGCGATTCGCCACCTGGTTATCAGAAGGGGGAAAGGAGAAGATTAGTTGTGTGTCGTCTGCGTAGCAATGATAGGAGAGGCCATGTGAGGATATGACAGAGCCAAGTGACTTGGTGTATAGTGAGAATAGGAGAGGGCCTAGAACTGAGCCCTGGGGGACACCAGTAGTGAGAGCACGTGGTGCGGAGACAGATTCTCGCCACGCCACTTGGTAGGAGCGACCGGTCAGGTAGGACGCAATCCAAGAGTGAGCCGCGCCGGAGATGCCCAACTCGGAGAGGGTGGAGAGGAGGATCTGATGGTTCACAGTATCAAAGGCAGCAGACAGGTCTAGAAGGACAAGAGCAGAGGAGAGAGAGTTAGCTTTAGCAGTGCGGAGAGCCTCTGTGACACAGAGAAGAGCAGTCTCAGTTGAATGACCAGTCTTGAAACCTGACTGGTTTGGATCAAGAAGGTAATTCTGAGAGAGATAGCAAGAAAGTTGGCTAAAGACGGCACGCTCAAGAGTTTTGGAGAGAAAAGAAAGAAGGGATACTGGTCTGTAGTTGTTGACATCAGAGGGATCGAGTGTTGTTTTTTTTCGCTCACTTGAAGACGGAAGGGACATAGCCAGCGGTCAAGGATGAGTTGATGAGCGAGGTGAGGTAAGGGAGAAGGTCACCGGAGATGGTCTGGAGAAGAGAGGAGGAGATAGGGTCAAGCGGGCAGGTTGTTGGGCGGCCGGCCGTCACAGGTCGCAAGATTTCATCTGGAGAGAGAGGGGAGAAAGAAGTCAAAGCATAGGGTAGGGCAGTGTGAGCAGGACCAGCAGTGTCATTTGACTTAACAAACGAGGATCGGATGTCGTCAACCTTCTTTTCAAAATGGTTGACGAAGTCATCCACAGAGGGGGAGGGGGAGGAGGATTCAGCAGGGAGGAGAAGGTGGCAAAGAGCTTCCTAGGGTTAGAGGCAGATGCTTGGAATTTAGAGTGGTAGAAAGTGGCTTTAGTAGCAGAAACAGATGAAGAAAATGTAGAGAGGAAGGAGTGAAAAGATGCTAGGTCCGCAGGGAGTCTAGTTTTCCTCCATTTCCACTCGGCTGCCTGGAGCCCTGTTTTGTGAGCTTGCAATGAGTCGTCAAGCCACGGAGCAGGAGGGGAGGACCGAGCCGGCCGGGAGGATAGTGGACATAGAGAGTCAATGGATGCAGAAAGGGAGGAGAGGAGGGTTGAGGAGGCAGAATCAGGAGATTGGAGGGAGAAGGATTGAGCAGAGGGAAGAGATGATAGGATGGAAGAGGAGAGAGTAGCGGGAGAGAGAGAGCGAAGGTTGTGACGGCGCATTACCATCTGAGTAGGGGCAGAGTGAGTAGTGTTGGAGGAGAGCGAGAGAGAAAAGGATACAAAGTAGTGGTCGGAGACATGGAGGGGAGTTGCAGTGAGATTAGTAGAAGAACAGCATCTAGTAAAGATGAGGTCAAGCGTATTGCCTGCCTTGTGAGTAGGGGGGGACGGTGAGAGGGTGAGGTCAAAAGAGGAGAGGATTGGAAAGGAGGAGGCAGAGAGAAATGAGTCAAAGGTAGACGTAGGGAGGTTGAAGTCACCCAGAACTGTCAGGGGTGAGCCATCCTCAGGAAAGGAACTTATCAAGGCGTCAAGCTCATTGATGAACTCTCCAAGGGAACCTGGAGGGCGATAAATGACAAGGATGTTAAGCTTGAATGGGCTAGTGACTGTGACAGCATGGAATTCAAATGAGGAGATAGACAGATGGGTCAGGGGAAAAAGAGAGAATGTCCACTTGGGAGAGATGAGGATTCCTGTGCCACCACCCCGCTGACCAGATGCTCTCGGGGTATGCGAGAACACATGGTCAGACGAGGAGAGAGCAGTAGGAATAGCAGTGTTTTCAGTGGTAATCCATGTTTCCGTCAGCGCCAAGAAGTCGAGGGACTGGAGGGTAGCATAGGCTGAGATGAACTCTGCCTTGTTGGCCGCAGAACGGCAGTTCCAGAGGCTGCCGGAGACCTGGAACTCCACGTGGGTGGTGCGTGCAGGGACCACCAGGTTAGAGAGGCAGCAGCCATGCGGTGTGAGGCGTTTGTATAGCCTGTGCGGAGAGGAGAGAACAGGGATAGACAGAGGCATAGTTGACAGGCTACAGAAAATGGCTACAATAATGCAAAGGAGATCGGAATGAAATGAACTAAACATCTGGGAAAGAGGGGGGCCTCCCTCACTTACGTTTCACTGACGTTTCACTGAAACACCCAAATATAACTCTCCCAACTTCCACCTCAGAAACTATAATTGTTGTAAACTACAGCGGTTCAATGTTTTCGAGGAATAGACTAACTTAGTTTATTCAGCTAGCTAACTTGGTACAGTATTCTTCCGTGAAAACCGTCCAGGGCACCTAGTCATATGACGCCACAGCCAACTAGCATCCGGACTCCAACAACACAGTTTAGCCCAATCTCGGCCACAACAAACCACCAGTGTGTCACACCAGCAGTATCGTGTCCGTCTAACGTTTGGGTAGTCCGACAGCTGACATCCGTCGTAGTGACTAGTGCTGTTTAGTGGACAGTGCAGGTATCTGTCACATTGTGACTAGATCCAGCTGGTCTGTGGGAATGTTCGTCATCAGCAGTTCTTATTTGCTGTCCCTTGTTCTGTGTCTCTCCTGTGGTCTGTCTCATGGTTATCTTCTGTTCATCTCTCTCTGTCTCTCGTCTGTCACTTCTGTACTTCAGTTCTCTTGTCTCTCTCTCTTCTTGTCTGTCTTTCTCCTGTCTGTAACTTTCATGGTCTTCTCTTCCTTCTCTCTCTTCTTCTGTCTCCCCTCTCTTCTTCCTGTCTTGTCCTGTCTCTGTCCTGTCTCGTCTCTGTCTCTGTTCTCTCTGTCTCTCTCTGTCTCTGTCTGTCTGTCTTTCTCCTGTCTGTAACTTTCATGGTTACTCTTTCTGTATCTCTCTCTCTGTCTGTCTGTCTTTCTCCTGTCTGTAACTTTCATGGTTACTCTTTCTGTATCTCTCTCTCTCTCTGTCTGTCTGTCTTTCTCCTGTCTGTAACTTTCATGGTTACTCTTTCTGTCTCCTTTTTCTGTCTGTCTGTAACTTTCATGGTTACTCTTTCTGTCTCCTCTCTCCTCCAATCTCTCTTGCTCCTTTTGTTTTTCTCTTGATTTGATGGATGCCACATTGAAGCTCTGTCTGTACAGTGAGTTCACTTTTTAATTGTACAATCAATGCTTGCTATAAATCTCTATTTTATGTCTCTTCTCTGTCTCTCTCTCTCTCTCCCTCTCACTCGTTCTCTCACTCCAGGCACTTAGATAACCACTCTCTGTGGGAGGGGAAGACCTTTGCAGTCCGCTGCTTTAAGATCATCATGTACTCTATCCAGGTGAGTCACCTCCACTCTATTGCTCACTCTCTCCATTCCTTCCTTCCTACCGCCCTATCTCTCCCCTCTCTCTCCCTCCCTCTCTCTTTGGCAGCTGTTACCTGGGGCTGATCAAATAGCAGGTAAGTCAGTCAACCTAAAGTCCTTTTTCTATCCTCCACCAGCTCTTAGAACAACCTCATATTTTCACCCCAATTCAACTGAAATCCCAGTTAGAGTTCTCTCTCCCACTCTCTGTGTTGCTTTAATGTGTGTTTTTATACTGACCCAATAGTGGTTTGAAATTCATTCTCTCTCTCTCTCCCTCTTTCGCTCTCTCTCTCTCGCTCTCTATCTCTTTCTCTCCCTCTCTCCCCCTCCTCCAGTCTCAGCACTCTCACCTGGTCATCCAGCAGCTGCTAGGTCACCTGGATGCCAACAGTAAGAATTCAGCCACAGTGCGTGCTGGGATAGTGGAGGTCCTCCTGGAGGCTGCTGCAATCGCTTCCAGCGGCTCTGTGGGTGGGTACAAAGAGGTCTGCCGTACACACACGTACAGATGCACGTATTTGCACGCACGCGCTTACACACACACACATACACCTTGTCCTGGCTTGCGTGTCCAGATCACATTTTCTTCACACTTCATTCAGTATTATAATCTGTCCACCAGAGAGAGGTGTGTTATCATTGAAAATGTCTATCTACTGAAGTAGGGGTTCTTTCTCTAATGAAGTTTGTGTGTGTGTGTGTGTCTTTCTCAGGCCCCACGGTGTTGGAGGTGTTTAACACTCTGCTGAGGCAGCTGCGTCTCAGTGTGGACTACGAGCTGACCGGCTCCTACGACGCCAGCGGGAAACATTGGCACCAAGATCATCAAAACACATGAGGAGAGACAGCTACAGGAGGCCGTTATCAGGACCATTGGTCAGTCTCTGTGTGTGTGATTGTCTACTCACACACACACACTAGATTTGCAGCCAGTCTCTCCTTAAAGGAAAATTCCACCCAAAAACGATATTTTGGTATTTGTTTCATTAGTCCATTGCTGATGTTTTGCATGTCAGCAATCAAATTTTCAAGATGTATAACTACCAAAAGATAGTTTTGGGGTGGAATTTTCCTTTAAGGAGAGACTGGCTGCAAATCTAGTTGTGTGTGTGTGTGTGTGTGTGTGTATAACATACTAATTAAATGACAATTTAATGAACTGACAAGGAAGAAAATGATGCCTTCAATTGATGTCCTGCTTGACTTTCATTTGAACTGTTTGTAACTCTCCAGGGTCATTTGCGAACACCCTCCCTACATACCAGCGCTCCGAGGTCATGCTCTTCATTATGGGCAAGATTCCTGTACCAGGGGTACACCCTACACTCACCAACGCAGGCTCCGGGTGAGGGCACACACACACACACACACACACACACACACACACACACACACACACACTCTCACACTTTCCTGACAACTTCTTTTTTATTTAAAGGGGTTGTGAAGGGACCAGGATGATCCAGATCATGCTGCTGAAGTCGCTGGTTCAGGTGAGACATGGAATTAACATTAGAAACTTCTCACATTCAATCAGTAGTCACCAAACTCTGTGTTCATGTGCAGATTTCTGTCAAGTGGCCCACATCAATCTTCCTCTTTCTTAATTTAAATCTGTCTTTCTCCATTACCCCATCCCCCTTCCCCCCCCCCCCCCCCCCCCCCACCCCCCGCCTCCCTCCCCTCCCCACGCTCTCTCTCCTCCCTCCCCCCAGGTGACGACAGGGTTCCAGACCACCAACATGCTGACGGCGCTGCCCAACTCGTTCCTGGAGCCGCTGCTGTCCTTCTCTCTGATGGAGGACCCGGAGGTCAGACTGCTGGTGCTCACCATACTCCTCAGTGTTATAGACAGACACGACAACACACCCAAGTTCTCTAGCATCAGGTCAGAACACGCCTCAGGCCAAGCTCTTTATTGTGCGACTCTTTCACTTTTTCTCTCATTTGCTTCCACCCGATCTATCTTTATTTCTGCCCCTCAGACCCTCTCTCCATCCCTTCTCCCTCCTTCCTTCTCTTCCTCTCTCCCCTTCTCTCTATCCCTCTGTGCTTATCTTTCACTCTCACTGTCAGTCTTCCGTCTCTTTTTGACTCTACCATCCCTTCTCTCTCTCTGTCACTATCATTATTTTCTCTGGCTTGTACTTGTCATTTTGAGGCATATCTTATCTTCTTGACCTCCTTACAGAAGCACTGCGCTATGCTTTCACTCTCTCTGTATCTGTCCATATAATAATGCTAGTCTCCTGTCTCCTCCTACAGCATTATATCAGATATCTCTGTTCTCAAACTGAAAGTGGACAAATGCTCTCGACAGGACAACCTTTTCATGAAGAAGGTAAACCTCTCTATCACCATCTCTCTCCATCTTCCTCTGTCTCTCTCTCTCTCTCTCGCCATCTCTGTGTGCCACTCCCTCCTGCCTCACTTCCCTCTCTTTCTATATTTCACAGCATGCACAGCAGTTGTACCGCCACATCTACTTGGCGTGTAAGGAGCAGAGCAGCGGTCCGCAGCACTTTGAGACGCTCTACACCCTTCTGGCCCTCATCAGCATGGAACTGGCCAACGAAGAGGTGGTGGTGGACCTCATCAGACTGGCCCTGGCCCTGCAGGTACACACACACACACACACACACAAACACACACGAGCGCACACGTACACGCACATACTCGTAACTACACACACACGCACTCACACTTAAGCCTCCCAGGACCAAGGTTATCAGTGTGATCTCTCTCTCTCCTGTAGGAATTGGCTCAGACCAACGAGGAGTCTCTGTCAGTGTATAACCGCTGTGCTGTCCATGCCCTCTCTGCTGCCTACCTCAACCTCATCTGTCAACTTACCACCGTCCCCACCTTCTGCCAGCACATACACGAGGTACCTGTGTGCATCAGACCACTCTCTGCCTGCAATGTGCATTAACATCTATAACTACACTAATGAATGACTTGTGTGTTGCTCACTCCCTCCCAGGTGATTGAGATGAGACAGAAGGAGGTGCCCTTCCTTCTCCCTGAGGACATCTTCATAGAAAACCCCAAGTAGGTTTACATCAGTTTGATATTTGTTAAGATTGGTATAGGTAAAGCAGTGTTTCCCCTAGGTTTTTTGTCAGCAGTGGTGGCAAGGGTATTGGGGGGAGGGAAGGGGGTGTCATTGCTACTAGCATTAGCACAATGACATGCTAGCTTTCCCCATAGACTTCCAGTCATTGAGCCAACAACTATCCAATTAAAAACGCGTCTCGGCAGAAATATATACAGTGAGGGGAAAAAAGTATTTGATCCCCTGCTGATTTTGTACGTTTGCCCACTGACAAAGACATGATCAGTCGATAATTTTAATGGTAGGTTTATTTGAACAGTGAGAGGCAGAATAACAACAAAAAAATGTTATAAATTGATTTGCATTTTAATGAGGGAAATAAGTATCACAGAGGTCAGATGTTTCTTGTAGTTGGCCACCAGGTTTGCACACATCTCAGGAGGGATTTTGTTCCACTCCTCTTTGCAGATCTTCTGCAAGTCATTAAGGTTTCGAGGCTGACGTTTGGCAACTCGAACCTTCAGCTCCCTCCACAGATTTTGTATGGGATTAAGGTCTGGAGTCTGGCTAGGCCACTCCAGGACCTTAATGTGCTTCTTCTTGAGCCACTCCTTTGTTGCCTTGGCCGTGTGTTTTGGGTCATTGTCATGCTGGAATACCCATCCACGACCCATTTTCAATGCCCTGGCTGAGGGAAGGATGTTCTCACCCAAGATTTGACGGATTTGACAGATTCTCTTCTGTCAAAGAATCTGTCCATCGTCCCTTTGATGCGGTAAAGTTGTCCTGTCCCCTTAGCAGAAAAACACCCCCAAAGCATAATGTTTCCACCTCCATGTTTGACGGTGGGGATGGTGTTCTTGGGGTCATAGGCAGCATTCCTCCTCCTCCAAACATGGCGAGTTGAGTTGATGCCAAAGAAATCAATTTTGGTCTCATCTGACCACAACACTTTCACCCAGTTCTCCTCTGAATCATTCAGATGTTCATTGGCAAACTTCAGACGGCCCTGTATATGTGCTTTCTTGAGCAGGGGGACCTTGCGGGCGCTGCAGGATTTCAGTCCTTCACGGCGTAGTGTGTTACCAATTGTTTTCTTGGTGACTATGGTCCCAGCTGCCTTGAGATCATTGACAAGATCCTCCCGTGTAGTTCTGGGCTGATTCCTCACCGTTCTCATGATTATTGCAACTCCATGAGGTGAGATCTTGCATGGAGCCCCAGGCCGAGGGAGATTGACAGGTCTTTTGTGTTTCTTCCATTTGCGAATAATCGCACCAACTGTTGTCACCTTCTCACCAAGCTGCTTGGCGATGGTCTTGTAACCCATTCCAGCCTTGTGTAGGTCTACAATCTTGTCCCTGACATCCTTGGAGAGCTATTTGGTCTTGGCCATGGTGGAGAGTTTGCAATTATATTTACATTTACGTCATTTAGCAGACGCTCTTATCCAGAGCAACTTACAAATTGGTGCATTCACCTTATAGCCAGTGGGATAACCACTTTTTTTTCCAACATTTTTTTTTCTTTTTTTTTGGGGGGGGGGGTGGTGGGTTGGGGTAAGGGAGGGGTAGAAGGATTACTTTATCCTATACCAGGTATTCCTTAAAGAGGTGGGGTTTCAAATGTCTCCGGAAGGTGGTGAGTGACTCCGCTGTCCTGGCGTCGTGAGGGAGCTTGTTCCACCATTGGGGTGCCAGAGCAGCGAACAGTTTTGACTGGGCTGAGCGGGAACTATGCTTCCGCAGAGGAAGGGGAGCCAGCAGGCCAGAGGTGGATGAACGCAATGCCCTCGTTACATTTTTGACATGCGTTTTTCTGGATTTTTTTGTTGTTATTCTGTCTCTCATTGTTCAAATAAACCTACCATTAAAATTATAGACTGATCATTTCTTTGTCAGTGGGCAAACATACAAAATCAGCAGGGGCTCAAATACTTTTTTCCCTCAATGTATATATACAGTTGAAGTCGGAAGTTTACATACACTTAGGTTGGAGTCATTAAAACTTGTTTTTCAACCACTCCACAAATTTCTTGTTAACAAACTATAGTTTTGGCAAGTCGGTTAGGACATCTACTTTGTGCATGACACAAGTAATTTTTCCAACAATTGTTTACAGACAGATTATTTCACTTATAATTCACTGTATCACAATTCCAGTGGGTCAGAAGTTTACATACACTAAATTGACTGTGCCTTTAAACAAAAGGGGATGCCTTGCAAGCCGAAGAACACCGTCCCAACCGTGAAGCACGGGGGTGGCAGCATCATGCTGTCGGGGTGCTTTGCTGCAGGAGGGACTAGTGCACTTCACAAAATAGATGGCATCATGAGGAAGGAAATGTATGTGGATATATTGAAGCAACATCTCAAGACATCAGTCAGGAAGTTAAAGCTTGGTCGCAAATGGGTCTTCCAAATGGACAATGACCCCAAGCATTCTTCCAAAGTTGTGGCAAAATAGCTTAAGGGCAACAAAGTCAAGGTATTGGAGTGGCCATCACAAAGCCCTGACCTCAATCCTATAGAAAAGTTGTGGGCAGAACTTAAAAAGTGTGTGCGAGCAAGGAGGCCTACAAACCTGACTCAGTTACACCAGCTCTGTCAGGAGGAATGGGCCAAAATTCACACAATTTATTGTGGGAAGCTTGTGGAAGGCTACCTGCAACGTTTGACCCAAGTTAAACAATTTAAAGGCAATGCTACCAAATACTAATTGAGTGTATGTAAACTTCTGACCCACTGGGAATGTGATGAAAGAAATAAAAGCTGATATAAATCATTCTCTCTACTATTATTCTGACATTTCACATTCTTAAAATAAAGTGGTGATCCTAACTGACCTATGACAGGGAATGTTTACTAGGATTAAATGTCAGGAATTGTGAAAAACTAGGTTTAAATGTATTTGGCTAAGGTGTATGTAAACTTCCGACTTCAACTGTATATATATATACAAAAAATATATATAATATATATATCATATTTTTTGCAGCGGTGGCAACAGTTTAGCAGTAGTGGGGGAAACACTGGGGGGAAAACACACATTATAGGGGAAACACTGGGTAAAGCTGATCATGGGACAGTGGTTAGGCCAAAAGAAGACAACCCTGGAAATGAAGTGCCACAGTACAGAGGAACAAGACTGTGATTATCTAATGTTTTCTATCCCATGGGGGATAGCGCAAGGACACCGTCATGCAACAAAGTCAATATTTGTCCAATCCGTCATGATTTATGTGGTCTAACAGGCCCAATGTGGTTACTAAAATTTGATTTGGATATATATGGCTGTTTTCGCTGCAAGGTGTCCCTTTTTGGGTTTAGAAAAAGTGTCTGCTAAATGCTAATTCCCGTTCGTACAAGCTAGCCATATAAAAATCGGTGGTGGTAGTTGAAGCCATTTTTAAGTGTAATGCAGTTGATTGGTGATGATGACATGAACATATATTGGGGGTTGACTTCCACACAAGCACTTAGATTCTTACCCCAACAAAGTGTGAAAAAATAATTTTGATGGCCGGTAATGAGGAGTTTCTGTATCTATTCCCCATGTGTGCATGGTGTTTCCATGGCATTTCCATTGTTTTGGTCGAACTCTTACCTGATATATCGCTGCTAGGGGACAGTACAGCTAAAATAGTGGTCTTTAGATTAATATAATGCTAATATATGTGTATACATATATCAGCTGGTAGAGCACGGCGCTTGTAACGCCAAGGTAGTGGGTTCGATCCCCGGGACCACCCATACACAAAAATGTATGCATGCATGACTGTAAGTCGCTTTGGATAAAAGCGTCTGCTAAATGGCATATTATTATTATTATTATTATTATAACATGCAACATGCAACAATTTCAACGATTTTACTGAGTTACAGTTCATAGGAAATCAGTCAATTGAAATAAATTCATAAGGCCTTAATCTATGGATTTCACATGACTGGGAAGGGGCTCAAAACTTGAGACATCTGTGGCATTGTGTTGTGTGTCAAAACTGCACATTTTAGAGTGGACTTTTATTGTCCCCAGCACAAGGTGCACCTGTGTAATGATCATGCTGTTTAATCAGCTTATTGATATGCCACACCTGTCAGGTGGATGGATTATCTTGGCAAAGGAGAAATGCTCACTAACAGGGATGTAAACAAATTTGTGCACAAAATCTGAGATAAATAATTTCTGGGATCTTTTATTTCAGCTCATGAAACATGGGACTAACACATGTTGTGTTTATATTTTTGTTCAGTGTATATACAGTATATATAGATATGGTTCGTTCTACTAAAAGAGTGCCTTTTGCGTCCCTTTGATATTTTAAGTAGAAATGTTGCCCCAATATTGCACCCTGTGTAACTTTTAGGAAGATTTTAACCCACTTAACCCCACAATTTCTCCAAGTTTTCACCATCATTGTAACGCCCTAGTTATATTCAAATCAAATCAAATTGTATTTGTCACAACAGGTGTAGACCTTACCGTGAAACGCTTACTTACAAGCCCGTAACCAACAATGCACTTAAGAAAATAAGAGTTAAGAAAATTACTAAATAAACTAAAGTAAAAAAAGAAACAATAAAATAACAATAACAAGGCTATAAACAGGGGGTACCGGTACCGAGTCAATGTGTGGGGGTACAGGTTAGTCGAGGTAATATGTACATGTAGGTAGGGGTAAAGTGACTATGCATAGATAATAAACAGTGAGTAACAGCAGTCTTATGGCTTCAGGGTTGAATCTGTTAAGGAGCCTTTTGGACCTAGACTTGGCGCTCCAGTACCGCTTGCCTTGCGGTAGCAGAGAGAACAGTCTATGACTTGGGTGGCTGGAGTCTTTGAAAAAATGTTGGGCCTTCCTCTGACACCGCCTAGTATATAGGTCCTGGATGGCAGGAAGCTTGGCCCCAGTGATGTACCGGGCTGTACGCACTACCCTTTGTAGCGCCTTACGGTTGGATGCCGAGCAGTTGCCATACCAGGCGGTGATGCAACCGGTCAGGATGCTCTTGATGGTGCAGCTGTAGAACATTTTGAGGATCTGGGGACCCATGCCAAATCTTTTCAGTCTCCTGAGGGGGAATAGGCGTTGTCGTGCCCTCTTCACGACTGTCTTGGTGTGTTTGGACCATCATAGTTTGTTGGTCCAAGGACACCAAGGAACTTGAAACTCTCTACCCGCTCCACTACAGCCCCGTTGATGTGAATGGGGGCGTGTTCAGCCCTCCTTTTCCTGTAGTCCACGATCAGCTCTTTTTTCTTGCTCACGTTTGTTGCGTTGACAAAGTAATTTCTGAAGATTATGATTTATTTAGTGTGATTAGTGATTCATCTACGTCTACAGTGTCTTCAGAAAGTATTCACACCATTCGACTTTTCCCACATTTTGTTTTGTTACAGCCTGAATTTTAAATGGATTAAATCGCGATTTTGTATCACTGGCCTACACACAACACCCCATATTGTAGAAGTGGAATATGTTTTTAGAATTGTACAAATTAATAAAAAATTAAAAGCTGAAATGTTCTTAGTCAGGTTTTCAACCCCTTTGTTATGGCAAATCTGAAAGCAGACATTGAATATCCCTTTGAGTATGGTAAAGTTAGTAATTACACTTTGGATGGTGTATCAATACACCCAGACACTACAAAGATATAGGCGTCCTTCCTAACTCCGTTGCCTGAGAGGAAGGAAACCACTCAGGGATTTCACCATGAGGCCAATGGTGACTTTAAAACAGTTACAGAGTTTAATGGCTGTGATAGGAGAAAACTGAGGATGGATCAGCAACATTGTAGTTACTCCACAATACTAACCTAAATGACAGAGTGAAAAGAAGGAAGCCTGTACAGAATACAAATATTCCAAAACATGCATCCTGTTTGCAATAAGGTACTAAAGTAAAACTGCAGAACATTTGGCAAAGAAATGAACTTCATGTCCTGAATACAAAGTGTTATGTTTGGTGCAAATCCAGCACAACACATCACTGAGTACTAGTACTAGCACCCAAAATTTTTTTTTTTTTCACTTTGTCATTATGGGGTATTGTGTGTAGATGGGTGAGAATTATTATGTTTTTTTTTTTAAATTGACAAAATGTGGAATAAGTCAAGGGGTATGAATACTTTCTGAAGGCACTGTATGTTATTATAGTATAGGTCTCTAGTTCTTACTGTGGGTCTCAGTGGTAGTTCTGAGCGATTAACCCCAAATGTTAGTTCTTTTGGGTTTTTTAAACAACTAATTGACCGACATCGGTTCAATTATTTGAATTACATTTCATTCAGTTTTTTTCTGCAAGCTCAATGCAGACATTGCACAGTTTCTCTAGAGATAAATCAGATCCAGATTGAACTGTGCGATGTAGTAGGGAGTTGTAGTTTCCAACAGGCCAATATTCCACGTAGTTTATCACATAAAACATGGTAATTAACTACAATGACCGTAATCCATTGTGCGTCTACTTGTCTGGTCTGTGTTTCTTTTATGCCTGCTACGGAAGAAACAGAAGAATGCGCGATCGTGAGGGGATATAGAGAGCAGCTGTTGCTCTGCGAGGTATCTCTACCTGAAAATACATGATCATAAAAGTATGCCTTATTTACTTTGAAGAACAACAAATAGTGATTTTGTCAGACAGCATAGGCAGCAGCTCTATATAGATGAGATGAAGACTTGGAATGAAATAATAAAGTAATCAATTAAAACAAATGTAATTGTCACGATCGTCATAAGCAACGGATCAAGGCGCAGCATGATATGCGTACATCTTTTAATGAGTACTTTATACACTACAAAAAAAAAAAAAACGATACATGAAGTCCTAAGGTTAACAAAACACAAACCTCTCCGGAACAAGATCCCACAAAAGACAAGTGCACAACAGGCTGCCTAAGTATGGTTCCCAATCAGAGACAACGAGCCACAGCTGTCTCTAATTGGGAACCACCCCGGCCAACATAGAAACACATAAACTAGAACATAGAAAACGAAACATAGAACCTAACACCCAGAAACTAACAGATAGAAACTAACACCCTGGCTCAACATATAAAAGTCCCCAGAGCCAGGGCGTGACAGTACCCCCCCCCCCAAAGGCGCGGACTGCGACCGCGCCAACTAAACCCAACAGGGGAGGGGCCGGGTGGGCATTCCGCCTCGGAGGCGGATCCGGATCCGGGCGTGACCACCACCCTCTAACTAACCCCCCGTAGCGCCCCTGGTCTGGTCCCGCTGGCTGGAGCTGGACTGGACATCGGTGGAGCGGATTGCTTAGGCTCCGGTGTGGAGCAGCTGACCGGTACCTGACCAGGCACTGGTGAAACAGGCACGGGCTGTGCCGGACTGACGACGCGCACCACAGGCTTGGTGCGGGGAGCAGGAATGGGCCGGACCGGGCTGACGACGCGCACCACTGGCTTGGTGCGGGGAGCAGGAACGGGCCGGACCGGGCTGGCGACGCGCACCACTGGCTTGGTGCGGGGAGCAGGAACGGGCCGGACCGGGCTGGCGACGCGCACCACTGGCTTGGTGCGGGGAGCAGGAACAGGCCGGACCGGGCTGGCGACGCGCACCACAGGCTTGGTGCGAGGGGCAGGAACAGGCCGGGCCGGGCTGGCGACGCGCACCACAGGCTTGGTGCGAGGGGCAGGAACAAGCCGGGCAGGGCAGGCGACGCGCACCACAGGCTTGGTGCGAGGGGCAGGAACAGGCCGGGCCGGGCTGGCGACGCGCACCACAGGCTTGGTGCGAGGGGCAGGAACATGCCGGGCCGGGCTGGCGACGCGCATCACAGGCTTGGTGCGAGGGACAGGAACAGGCCGGACCGTACTGGGAACACACACCACTGGCCTTGTGCGGGGATCAGGAACAGGCCGGACCGGACTGGTAACACACCCCAGTACCTCTCGCCGTGCCTCTACACTCTCCTTCCCTCTAATGACCAATGGCCCCCGTAACCTGGTGGCCTTCTCTCCTAGTCCACAATCTCGCCCTGTAGCTGCCTCCAGCAGCCCCGTCGTCCATGCCGTGTGCCCCCCCCAAAAAATGTATAGGGGTTGCCTCTTGCGTGTCCGACGTCGGCACGGTTGGCGCCGCTGCTCCTCTCTATGGCGCGCCTCCACCGTCTCCTCCCACGGACGGCGATCCATTCCGGCCTGGATTTCCTCCCAAGTCCAGGATCCCTGCCCGTCCAAGATCTCCTCCCAAGTCCAGGCTTTCTGCTCCTGGACACGCTGCTTGGTCCTGTTATGGTGGGATCTTCTGTCACGATCGTCGTAAGCAACGGATCAAGGCGCAGCTTGATATGCGTACATCTTTTAATGAGTACTTTATACACTACAAAAAATTTTTTAAACGATACGTGAAGTCCTAAGGTTAACAAAACACAAACCTCTCCGGAACAAGATCCCACAAAAGACAAGTGCACAACAGGCTGCCTAAGTATGGTTCCCAATCGGAGACAACGAGCCACAGCTGTCTCTAATTGGGAACCACCCCGGCCAACATAGAAACACATAAACTAGAACAAGAACATAGAAAACGAAACATAGAACCTAACACCCAGAAACTAACAGATAGAAACGAACACCCTGGCTCAACATATAAAAGTCCCCAGAGCCAGGGCGTGACAGTAATATACCCAACAACTGAAATATTTTAGTAAAGTAATGTGATTTTTAAAAATTGTTTTATTCTGTGTTACAGCATTCAACCCAAATAATCGAACCCCCCCCCCCCCCCCCCAAAAAATGAATATTTTTTAATAAATCACAATTTTTTCGAACCGAACTGACCTCAAAATGCACTAATCGCTCAGCACTACTCAGTGAACAAGAGTAGTAGTCTGGGTTCTTGCTCTTCCCACAGCCCTCTTCCCTCTAGTGCTCTTTCCATTAGAAAGAAACTTCACTTATAATTCATGAAGCATTCAGCCACGTTCAGTCAGTCAACACAGCTTTTAACAGACCTTCCTTCCTTTTCGGCTCAACCCGAAAATCCTTTTAGTGACGCATTTAAAGAGAGTTATTCTGAGTTCTGTTTGTGTCTGTGAGTGCATGCTCTTTGCTGTTTGTCGCTCTGTGAACTTCCTCAAGGCTTTTGTGAACTCTCTACAGATGAAAGCGGTGCAGCTTATGGATGTAGGGTTACTTTCCTCCATATATTGCTTTCATACTTAATCTCCCCAGTCTTATAAGATGTGGAGTAAATAAGATCTGGATATGGAGGAAATGGAGAGGTCTCCTCCCGTCCTGTCCTTCTCTTATCTTCCTTCTGTCTTTCCATGTCTTCTGTCTCCGTCCTGTCCCTCTCTTCTTTCATCTCTCTTCTCCCCCATCTCTCTTACGGTTTGTCTTCTGTCTCTGTGCTCTCCGTCTGTTCTTTCCCCTCTCCCAGGCTCCCTGCCTCTCTGGAGAAGTTGGAGGGGGATGTTCTGTTCCAGCAGTCTAAGATCACGGAAGTCCTGGGGGGCAGCGGCTACAACACAGACAGACTGGCCACACTCTACATCCCTCAGTTCACAGGTAACACACACCTTTCAACATGCACAGGAACATGTGCTTAACTCTTACTAAGATCAGTAGCTTCAATAAGGTGGGGTGATGAGGAGTAATCCAACTAAAATGGTTAACCTTTCAAACAGCAATGCATGCAGCCTGTGTTTTGAGCCATGCCTGTAGAGTGTGGTGAATGGAAATAGAGGTGAATTGCACCTCTTCTACAATGCACTTGAGTTAATAGTGTGTACTGTACCTACGTCATTGGGTGACCACTTTGTTGTTGATTGAATCCCAGATTGCCCTTTTAATCCCAAGTCATTGTACTCATCGTGGGTCATTGTTCAGCTAAGTTGTTGTGCTCTTTCTCTAGACGAGGACCGTCTGTCCAAGAGGAAGAGCATTGGAGAGACCATCTCACTACAGGTGGAGGTGGAGTCTAGGAACAGCCCAGAGAAAGAGGAGGTAAGGAGAAACACAAACACGTGCACACCAAAAATGTCCCTCAGCTCTTCCGTCCCTCACTCTCTCTCTCATTCTACAGAGGACTCCAGCAGAGGAGATCACATTTGAAACTCTGAAAAACGCCATCGGTAAGTACCCATCAGCGCTGTATCACTCATGAGTCATTTGGTCAGGCATCAGGACATTCAGTTAGCAGACAGTGTTCTATTGGACCATTATCAATCTGTCCCTCCAAGGACATAGTGATTGTATCAGCGGTACAACAATACTGAGGTGTGTGTGTCTCCTCAGTGGACAGTGTGGGGATGGAGGAGCAGGAGAGAGAGCGCAGAAGGCAGGTGGTGGAGAAGTTCCAGAAGGCCCCCTTCGAGGAGATCGCTGCCCACTGCGGTGCCAGGGTAAACCCCCATGTTTAAAGAACCAAAATTCTGCAGTTGCATGATTTGAATATCACTGAGTTTTTCAATCCATTGTCTTACTTGCATATTTTTTATTTTGTGGCTTCATCTGATGTGCACATTCTAAATCTGACTCTGACGCTGGTCTCTGCTTGTTCTTTACAGGCCACATTGCTGCAGAGCAAACTCAATCAGATCTTTGAGATCACAATCAGGTAAGAAACAAGAAGAATAGAAAGAACAGTCCATACAAAAGCTATGATGATGTAATTCCCACTTTAGAAGTGTTCAGAAACATCTTATCTACTAACTGGAGAAATGTTATTTCTAAGTGATCATTCACCATTCAGTTCCTTATGGGCAAAACGTAACCCAAAACAAACTGCAAATGCATCCATTGAGTTTGTAGTGTCACAAGCTTGATGTACACTACCGTTCAAAAGTTTGGGGTCACTTAGAAGTGTCCTTGTTTTTGAAAGAAAAGCTCTTTTTTTTGTCCATTCAAATAACATCAAATTGATAAGAAATACAGTGTAGACATTGTTAATGTTGTAAATGGCTATTGTAGCTGGAAACAGCTGATTTTTAATGGAATATCTACATAGGCGTACAGAGGCCAATTATCAGCAACCATCAGTCCTGTGTTCCAATGGCACGTTGTGTTTGCTAATCCAAGTTTATCATTTTAAAAGGATAATTGATCATTAGAAAACCCTTTTGCAATTATGTTAGCACAGCTGAAAACTGTTGTGCTGATTAAAGAAGCAATAAAACTGGCCTTCTTGAGCCTTGTTGAGTATCTGGAACATCAGCAATTGTGGGTTTGATTACAGGCTCAAAATGGCCAGAAACAAATAACTTTCTTCTGAAACTCGTCAGTCTATTCTTGTTCTGAGAAATGAAGGCTATTCCATGCGAGAAATTGCCAAGAAACTGAAGATCTCGTACAATGCTGTGGACTACTCCCTTCACAGAACAGCGCAAACTGGCTCTAACCAGAATAGAAAGAGGAGTGGGAGGTCCCGGTGCACAACTGAGCAAGAGGAAAAATACATTAGAGTGTCTAGTTTGAGAAACAGATGCCTCACAGGTCCTCAACTGGCAGCTTCATTAAATAGTACCCGCAACGTCAACAGTGAAGAGGCGACTCCGGGATGCTGACCTTCTAGGCAGAGTTGCAAAGAAAAAGCCATATCTCAGACTGGCCAATAAAAAGAAAAGATTAAGATGGGCAACAGAACACAGACACTGGACAAAGGAAGATTGGAAAAAAGTGTTATGGACAGACGAATCGAAGTTTGAGGTGTTCGGATCACAAAGAATAACATTTGTGAGATGCAGACCAAATGAAAAGATGCTGGAGGAGTGCTTGATGCCATCTGTCAAGCATGGTGGAGGCAAATGTGATGGTCTGGGGGTGCTTTGGTGGTGGTAAAATGGGAGATTTGTACAAGGTAAAAGGGATCTTGAAGAAGGAATGCTATCACTCCATTTTGCAACGCCATGCCATACCCTGTGGACGGCGCTTGATTGGAGCCAATTTCCTCCTACAACAGGACAATGACCCAAAGCACAGCTCCAAACTATGCAATAACTATTTAGGGAAGAAGCAGTCAGCTGGTATTCTGTCTATAATGGAGTGGCCAGCACAGTCACCGGATCTCAACCCTATTGAGCTGTTGTGGGAGCAGCTTGACCGTATGGTACGTAAGAAGTGCCCATCAAGCCAATCCAACTTGTGGGAGGTGCTTCAGGAAGCATGGGGTGAAATCTCTTCAGATTATCTCAACAAATTGACATCTAGAATGCCAAAGATCTGCAAGGCTGTAATTGCTGCAAATGGAGGATTCTTTGACGAAAGCAAAGTTTGAAGGACACAATTATTATTTCTATTAAAAATCATTATTTTAACCTTGTCAATGATTACGTTTCCTATGCATTTTGCTATATTTCCTATTCAAACTGATTTCATGTATGTTTTCATGGAAAACAAGGACATTTCTAAGTGACCCCAAACTTTTGAACGGTAGTGTAAGTCCTAATAATTTGAAAGACTGCTCAGAAAACCAGGTGTATTAATCGGCGTAAGCTTACTTCGATTTTGACCTGACGCCGATTAAGATAAGCAGAGTAAAGTGTTTACAGGACATTTCTAAGTGACCCCAAACTTTTGAACGTTAGTGTAGTCATTGCGTGCTTGGAATATGGGACCAAATACTACACTTTTGACTACTTTAGTACACTGAGTGAATGTGTCCCAATACTTATGACTTATGAAAATACCCTCAAATAATAGGTGAGATTATTTACTGTAGCCTCATATCCAAAATGCTGGAGTGTAGAGGCACATTTTTTTTATTTTAGCTTCACTGTCCAAATACATATGGAGATGAGTGTACATTATAGAAGTGAGGATGATGTTGCTCAGGTCATAGAGTTTGCCAGATATTTAACAGAGGTTGACGTTTATTGTCAGAGTCTTGCCCTGGAGGCAGAACTGAGCAGTTTCCGCTAGAGTCAAGATTGGCTATATCGTAAACATGCTTTTTGGTCTTAATTTAAGGTTAGGGCTAAGTATTAGGGTTAGCAGTGTGGTTAAGGTTAGGGTTAGGTTTAAAATCAGATTTTATGACTGTGCCAGCTAGTGAACACTCTACAGGGCTGCCTCTAGTACATGAGTCATCTGAATAAATGCCAACCTGCCTATTTTAACAGTCCAGGTTGGAGGGTACAATTATACCATAATGTTAGGTGCCTACTGGAATTCTCTTGGCTCTTGGTATGGGCACAAGTAGGCACACTATGACTTGGAACAGCATGATTTGGATTGTTATTGAATACCTTCACCCCCTCCCCACCCACATAAACAAATACACACTTCTCACCACTGTAATTTGTGCTAGTCCCCATGCCAAGAGAACAGAGGATTCCAGTAAGCACTTAATATGAGAGTCTAATTGTACACTCCAACCTGTCCTGGTAAATATCTGGCACACTCTGACTTGAGCAACATCATTTGGAATGTTATTGAACACCTTCCCCATGTTCTTGATGATGATGATGTTCTCTCTCTCTGCCCTCCCCAGACCCCCTCCCAGCCCGTCTGGTACCATCTCGTCAGGCTACGGCCAGACCCAGAGCCGCTCGGTGCCCGTCTACGAGATGAAGTTCCCTGACCTCTGTGTCTACTAGCCCTAAAGGTCAGGGGTCACCCTAGGAGGAGAGGGGTACAGGGGGTGTGGAGCTACAGCAGCCCTCGTGTTAAAACAACTACAGACTCTGTGACCCGTTCCCCCTGCTCCCCATTCTCTCTGTCAAGAGCTACTGACATGACTGACAATGTGTTTTTTGCACTGTGATCGCAGACAAAACAAATAGACAAACAAAAAGGCAGCAGTGTGAGCTATTGACCCTTCACCCTTTGCTTGACCCCTCCCCACAACCTAAAAATGCCCAAATGACTGCCACCTGCTTGGATTAGACTGTAGCCAGAAAGACTGTGGAGAAGAACAATTGATGGACAGAGGATGGCTAGAACAGGGAGGAGAGAAGATAGTGATCCCCAGTTTTAACCTTCTCCTTTTCCCCCTGATTGACTTGCTGCATGCCCACCTCTCTAAACATCTGCCTTGACCCCATTACTAGTGTCTAGATGTTGTCCTAGCTTATCCCTCACTGGATGCATTACTAGCCGTAGTGCACCTACACCAAAATGGCCAACTGCCAAATGGAACGAAATCATATTTGCTCATTCGTTTTATTGTATTGTAATTATTTTGTTTTAGCAATGGAAACTGTACTGACAAATGTAGGTAATCTAGTGTTACTTTTAGTTTTCAGTGGGATGACTACTTCTGAAACACTATCCCCACTCCCTGCTCAAACCATTCAGTTATAAATGAACTCAGTGTTTGCTTGGTGCTTTTCATATGTCTTTTTAGGTTTTTATTTTATGTCTCTGGGGTGAGAACTCCAGAGTATTTTTTTGTATCACTGCGTGTTAACCGGGAGTGCTTTTGATGCTGACCCAAATTATGTTCATTTTGTATTTTTTACCCCCTTGCTTTTTAAATGTTGTATATTTTAATCCATGAATTGACTGCAAAGGTTAAAGTGTGTGACCTGTGTACTATCCTCCTACAGGTGACTCCAGCAGACCTAGATTGAACCAGTCCAACCGTTCATAAAACCAGTCATAGCTTTCCCACTTTGTAAGGATCTGAAGGGTTTACAGTTATGTTTACATGCTCAAACACTAGCATATGGGTCGTTCCATCAATTCGGTGCCTTTTGAGATTGTCGTAAAGAGCAACTTAATAAAAAAAGAACATGTTTTCCCATCTCAAGAGATTAAATTAAAATAAATACTATATATAGTAAGTGCCTATTAAGTGCCAAATAAAGTAACAGGGGGGGGTTGACGATTTCATCTTAAATCAGCCATAAATCCCCCTGTGACAGCGGAATTGGAAGCTTGTTGTGTGCAACAGGGAGGGGCAATTGAATTGAAGCTTCACATTTTTTATTTTTTATTGTTAAAACATTTCTAGCCTGTCTTTATGGGTCACAGGGTTGACGTGTTATGCTCGACCCACTCAGTCTTCCACCACAAAACACCAGAAAATGGGCAAAAATAGTAGAACCAGCTCACCTGCTTTTACACTATGATTTGACTATTAGATGTTCAACGTTTCTTTAGATTATTTTTTATAAGGAATAGTTTCACCATATTTAGTTCACATAACAGGGTTGACCTTAAAATGAGGGACATGTTGTTGTTTTTTACCTTAAAATGTATCACTAATCACATGAAATAAATGATAATCTTCAGAAATTACTTTGTCAAAGCAACAAGGGCTTTACAATGATGGTGAAAACTTTGAGAAATTGTGGGGTTAAGTAGGTTAAAATCTTCCTGGAAGTCAGAGGGTGCGTGGAAGGACATGTAAAAATGCTGAATTTTGGCACTTTAGCAAGTCTATTCATATTTAAAAAATCATATTTATTTAGTTCTCAATATGGTCTATAAAAAAGGGCACTTCATTGAATATAACAGGCTTTTAAAATTCAATATTCGTGCACAATTTCAAAGGCGGTAATTTTGTGGATCGACCCATATAGACTAATTAACCAACCAACCCACATTATTCTTTGTCATACACAGATCTGCTATCTTAATTTTCTCACTCAGTTGTCACTAGAAATGCAAATTGTAGTGTATTCAAGGTTTAAAAAGGCTTCTAAAGTTTGTAATTTCCACTTTAAAATGTGACTTGATTTGCCCTAACGAAAAATGTATCAACCCCTACAAAAAGGTCCAATAATTATAATCCACATAATTCACATTTCCTGTTGCTGCAGGATTCTTTTCCTGCTGTGAGAAGCAGGGTCAAATTAAGATAGTGTGTATACAGAGAAGTACATTACATATCGAGATATAAACATGATGTAAATGAGTGTTATTTTGTGTACAGACCTATAAATATAATTTTAGATTGCCATAGTTAAGGGAAAGATCTACTAATATGTTTAAGAGTATACATAAGACCTCTATGTGAGCTAGCCCACTGAGAACTAACCAGCATGGCATCAAATTAGGACAGACTGTGACTGGAATAGGGATGGCCTATAAAGAGACTGCAATATGTCTAGAGTTACTGCCAGCCGGAGAGGAGTGGAGGAGAGGGATGAAGATCTAGTGAGTAGTTCCCTCAGACATATTAAAGGGTGACTGCACTTCCTAATTTGCCCTCATTTTGAAGATTGCTCATTAAGAAATGCTAGTGGCCATAACTGAAGTCAAACGAGAGTTGTCTTAGGGGTGTGGTTTGATGTGGGTGTGTTATGTTCGCATATTGTACCCTGACAGGTACTGTTGTTTGTCCCTCCTGAGTCACCGTAGCAACAGCACAACCACTTCCTCAAAATAGTAACTTCCTTAAAATAGTCTGATTTAATCTAAGATCAATCAAGACATCTGTAGTTAATTTAGTCACGCAATTTTACATCTAGCTAAGGTGTTTGGTTTAGTATATCTCAAGTAAATAAATGTGCACGAAAAACTAGTCAGTGCACTGCATACAGTCTATCGAGTTGGGAAAGTCTGGCTGCGCCCTCAGGACTGATTTCTGAGAACAATAACTTGTCTACAACTTCATCATCTGCAAGCTGTAAAACTATTGTAATTAAAGCACAAGTTCACTTGCTATCAGTGCCCAAAATCACTTGCTAGCTAGCTAACTTTCAAACACATCAGCAAGTGGCCACTCCGTAAAGGGCTTACGGCCAAGAGTTATTTCAACATAACATTAGCGACGGGTTGTCTTATGTAAACAAGTCTGAGGCGCTGCGTAATGGCCAGGTCTGTTTCACTGTCTGGAGGTTCTGGCTGTTGAATGATAGACTGCGTGCAGCTAATATAGCGCAATCCTCACAGCTGTTTCTCTCGTGTTACTGGGCAAGTGGGCATGATCGTAATCCATACCCAACGCTCCAGTGAGTCGTGACGAACTCACTTAAAAAACTACCTTTTTTCCTATTTACACTTTGTAATCAATTTTGACACTAGAATGAATGTTTCTGACTCATATCGATGCCACATAGGCTGTTTAAAACCAGAGAAGTTAGAGATGATCTAGTGTGTAGTTCCCTCAGACATATTAATGTCTGTAATCCAGAGAGATGCTGCAGGAGGGAAAGCAAGTTAGCAACATACCCCACTCCCTGTAATCATACTGCCATTTATTATAGTTTATTACAACTACAGTCACTGTGTTTAGTCCAACGATAGTGCCATGTTATTATATCAAATCCCCCTCATCCTTTTCCTACTGATGACATCATCGTTCTGATTATTAGCCGTTTGTATGCGAGTGGAGAGAACCATCTCTGCCAGTGTGTCTGGGGCTTGTACTTTAAGCTCATGCTCTTACATATTGTCGCAAAACAAAGTACAATGGCAATAATTATAAGTCTGATGATGGTTTGAGTGTTTCTGAACTAGCCAGATCAGGTAGTCTAGAGTCAGTTTAGCTAACTCAGAAACAGACTGGCCTTCCAGGCTGAAATAGCCCCACCTGAAGGTAGTCCATATTCTGTCTGTGTTTTGATAAATGCCTTCTGTACCTGGACGGTGCTGTGACACCTTCTGTACCCGTGACATTGTGAGACTCCTTCCTTCCTGTGCAAGTGTAAACTGACTCCCAATGGGTGTGCTCTATATGTGTCACTGTCATAACCAGTTGATGTCTGTCACTGACAAAATGGTGTCTGGGTTGTGATGTTGTGATTAGTGTTAACTGCCCAATATGCGGTGTTCTGTAGGTTTTGTTTCTACTATGTATTGTCTGTGTCAAGTCAACACATGCCAGTAGTTTACCGGATTGTCCATTGACGTGTCCATTTTTACAACGTTCCTGTTTACTGAGTAACTTTGTCATTGTGTGTGTTCGTCCGTGCATTCATGTGTGTGTGCTTGTGTATTCAGTTATCACCCCAAGACCAAACTAATGATCAAACCCAGTTTACAACCCAGCCCATTGACTCCTCTTCCTCCTTCTCATGAAGAACAATGTAATCAGCATCATGCAGCTCTCTGTCCTTCCAACAAAACCAATGTCAAGTCACAGTTACAGATTAACACAGTATAACAACTCTTTACCCACATGAAAAAATACTATAGTATACTATGGTATAAATACTATAGGAGTCACTGTAGTGTTTTTGCGGACTTTAATATAGTATTCACTGAATAATGTAGTATTTACTGTAGTATACTGTAGTACTTACAGTTAACTATTGTATAAATACTGTAGTAAAAGATAACTTTAGTATATACTATAGTATTTACTGTAGTGTTTTCGCGGATTGTAGTATACTGTAGTATTTACTGTAATGTTTTTGCAGACTGTAGTATACTGTAGTATTTACTGTAGTGTTTTTGCAGACTGTACTATACTATAGTATAGTACTCCTGAGTGGCGCAGTGGTCTAAGGCACTGCATCGCAGTGCTAACTGTGTCACTAGAGATCCTGGTTCGAATCCAGGCTCTGTCGCAGCCGGCCGCGACCAGGAGACTCATGGGCGGCGCACAATTGGCCCAGCGTCGTCCAGGGTAGGGGAGGGAATGGCCGGCAGGGATGTAGCTCAGTTGATAGAGCATGGCGTTTGCAACGCCAGGGTTGCGGGTTCG